CAGTGTCTTTCTAGATCTTACCAAGGCTTTTGACTGCGTCGACCACAGTATCCTCTTGTCAAAATTAGAACACTACGGTGTTCGAGGTGTTCCGTTGAATTGGATAAAATCTTACCTTTCAAACAGAACTCAACAGGTGCAGGTCTCAAATCATCTTTCAAAACCAGCTCTGTTAAAGTATGGTGTCCCGCAGGGATCCATTCTTGGTCCAATTTTATTTTTAATTTACGTTAACGATCTGTCTTCAGCATCTGGATCTAGCGAATTGGTTCAGTATGCTGATGATACGACTCTCTGTTGCAGTGCCAACAATCTTCCAAATCTAGAAATCAAAACTTTTGTAGATCTAAATTCATGTGTTCAATTTTTTGAAAACATCAATTTGAAAATAAATTCTCAAAAAACAAATTTCATCCGTTTTTACAGGCACGGTGAACCAAGTGAGACTGTAACGGTCATGATTGATGACTCACAAATTGAACAAGTCAATTCTTTTAAGTTTCTGGGCATCACCATTGACCGGGGGCTCACTTGGAGTAACCACCTTGACAACGTCTGCACGAGGGTATCTTCAGGCTGTTTTGCCTTAAGAGTCCTCTCAAAATTTTGTCCAGAAAATGTCTTGCTAATGGCCTACTTTGGCCTTATTTACCCCCATCTTTCTTATGGAATTGCAATTTGGGGTGGATGTGCAGAAGCGGACTTCCACAGGTTGTTCCGTCTTCAAAAGAGAGCACTCAGAATAGTGGCTAAACTACAGGTGAGAGAGTCTTGTAGGGCCGTCTTCAGGGAGCTAGGCCTGCTTACTCTTGCCTCTCTGTATATCTTGGAAGCTGCCACGTTTTCCAAATTTAAATGCAGCCTCACACAAGGCCAGGACATTCACTCGTATTCAACTAGAGGCAGAGAACAATATAGGTTGGCCCAAAACAGGTCCCGTGCAGCCTCAAGCTTGCCCTCTCAGACGGGGGTGAGGTTTTTGAATAGTCTTCCTGAACAAATAAGGAAAGAAAGGAACGAAAAACGGTTCAAACGGATTTTAAAAAGATATCTGATTAATAAAGAATATTACACTGTGGGTGAGTTTTTTGACACAAATGAGTAGATGGTGTTCGGCTGCTCTGAGGTTCTAAACAATCAAATGACAAGTTCTGTGTAATTTTTTAATCATTCGTATTATTAATTGTTTTATGCTGTTGTATTTATTTGTTTTGCTGTCGCTTGTTATGCCTGTATTAAATGTTGACGGATGCCATGCAATTGTATATTTGTTTCACGGCAATAAAGATATTATTATTATTATTATTATTATTATTATTATTATTATTATTGCAAGTTCCAAGTTTGAGTTCAATATAACTGCAATAAGCATTTTTTTACTTATATGCCAACCCCGTATACGAAGGACGGGTACTCTGCTAGTAATTAATATAGCAATTGAAAGTTCTATAGCAAATAAGTTGTCACAAAAGTAAGTATATTTCATATTTCGTCTATCGTATTACCTTTAATGCGGCCAATGACGATATATAACGATATAGCGATAGTTAGCAACCATAATCAATGGGAGTACAATAAATGTTATGGGCATAAAAGTAAAAAATTGAGTCATTAGAAACCAAAGATCCACATTAATTGTAGGTAACATTTGTAAGTTTATTTGTTGTGAAAAATTAACTACAGCTTTACTATACTTCCACAGTCTACCACTGTAGGCCTACCGTTACTGTAGTTTTGTGGAGGTTCACTTTAGTTATCGAACACAAATGATTCTACATACTGTACAGTCTTCAGCACCTTCCAGTACTAATTCCTGTGTAACACTTATTTTTCTGTTTACTGTTTGGATCCTTCACAGTTCAAAGAGACTTATAACGAAATATCACACTCTTTACAATATCAACAAATTACTGGGCTGCGTATTCTTCATTAAATTTACCTTTACACGAACCCTCTTCTACAATACTTTAATTTTTTTATTTTATACCTACATGGCAGGACAATAAGAGCAAGTAAATTTGCATTTAGACAATTAGACTTCTAATAAATGTTTTTAAATTGTAGAAAATAATATACCTTAAACAAAGATAAATGAATATTAAACTAAAAGATAGTAACGGGTGACTGATCCTTGCTGAGTTTGGTTAATTACATTTAATTGTTAAAGAAATATACTACACATACATGTTTTATTACAATACAAATATAATTCTATTAAATACCATAGAAATTTCATCGCAGAACTAATAACAACTTGAATAAGGTATGCAATTAAAAAAGGAATATTTTAGATCCTACTCCAGTTTTTTTAAACATTTATCATGCAAAATACGATTATTTTTATAGGTAAGGGGCATAATTTATCTCTCGGTACCACACTAGACTTTTCGTTGATTAGTTGAAGCCGAAAACTGATAAGTCCTATTGGAGCATAAATCTTTTACTGGAAAGATTATTATAATGAAATAATTAATTTCAATAATTATGTAACTAATTAGACCTGTCCATATTTTGTTTCAACTATAAAAAATAGTGTTTACAATTTGTACAATCTACCATTAAATACGGGTGAAACATTGAGTTGACGCCTGTGCACTCAAACGACACCAACTGGAAACACATTTATTGAAAATAATTGTTGTGCATTTGATAACAATATATCACTATTATTTAAACAAATTAAATGCTAAATTGATTCGTTTACGATAGCATACTTTTAATAAGCGGATTTAAAACAATTGCTTTATTTACACAATATTCGTCAATTAATAATCTGAGCCCTATCTATAATTACAGTGCCTTGTGATTCAGAACGCAACCCATATACATCACAGTTACGCAAACAGTATTTGAATAGTAAAGGGAGTTAATGTACAAATGTTGGTCAGTCGAACGTACGGGAATCGAGTAGTCAATTTTTTAAACAGTTTAATTCAGAACAGCTATTTACACATATAAAGACCAAAAAACTATGTCGTATAAGTCAATTCTCATATCTTCAACGATTAAGCGATAGTTTGCAGAACAATAAGTATTTTCAAACATGACTTAAAATTGTTACAACAAAACCTTTTACTTAGGTACACAAATTGAATCTCCAACAAAACTTGATTAGACGCAAATGTTTGATATACAGTTGAACATTTTACATTTCCTGATAAAACACATTCTTTGTAAGGAAAAAATTACATTTCACTTGAATTAGGTTACAGCAGACATTCGCTAGTTGTGGGGAAAACTAAATATAATTTAACGTTACAATTTCAATTTAATTAAATTTGAAACTACCTGTTTGTTACAACAACCGGAAACAACTTCAAATATTTAGCGTTGGTTACTAGTACACTATTACAACTTAATAGTTCAGCTCAAATAAACCAGGACAAATTCATTATCTTTTCATTTTTCAAATGATTTATTCCAGATTCTCTTACGGAGTAAACAAAAATTGTCATAAGCTATAAAAATAAGTTATTATTTGTTTAAGACGTTTGCCAGATAATTTAGTATTGTTATTGTCAAGGTTAATACTTAAACCATCTTTTAAGAATAAAAATAAACACGTTACTTTACTTTTGAAAATAAATAGTAAACAATACCAACACTAGCCCTGCATGCCTTCAAAATCCCATATATACATGTATGTATGAATGCGTGTGTATTTAAGTGTGTGTACTTGAAAATACTAATACAAAAATATTAATTAAAATATCAATTAACAAAACAAATAACCATTAACGTTGCTGGTGACGACGTGTGTTTAAACGCCTTCAATCTGAGAGACGCAACAGTTCTAGCGTTTTGGAACTTCCGATCTGATTACTAGAGTTTTGGATCTTCCGACCCGGCATATGATCACAAGTTCCAAAGTGAAAAGGACAGTCTATTTCATAAGTTTACTTTAAGAAATAAATTTGTACTTATAGTTATGACTGTACTTTTGGATCTTACGATTTTGGAACTTCCGATCGGCAATATTTTCTTTGAATCTTTTGATTTTGGATCTTCCGACCCGCTAAATAACCTTTGGAAATTCCGATTTTGGAACATCCGATCGGCAATATAAACGTTGGATCTTACGATTTTGGAACTTCCGATCGGCAATATATTCTTTGGATCTTCCGATTTTGGAACTTTTGAAATACTCCCTAGCTAACAAGCATTGACTGAAGAATTTTTGGTGTCGGCCAAAATAATTATCAACTATCAATCATTCAGACGGGGCGCGGCCACCTTTAATTCCAGGCCGCGGCCTGGTAGAATTGGCAACGTTGCAAGTAGTGTTGTCTAGCACCAGACGTCCCATAAGACAACATTGCAGATAGGTGACACCAGGGCCCATTTCATAATAAAGTACAAACTAATATTATTAGTAAATCAGCTGATCGCCCAATGCAAATCTAATGGAAATTACAAGTTACAAGTTGTAACTTGTAACTTGTAGTTTTCAGGGCTATGAAAATATTGACTCCACTTCAAAAGTACAAAAATTGATTTTCAATTTTTAAATATTGTTTTGTTTTCAATTCTATATGTTTTAGTTTCAACCTTTCAATAAATTTATATTCATAAATTTTAATTTTAATGATTAATACGCGAAATAATGAGCTGGGGCCCATTTCATAATAAAGTACAAACTGATATTATTAGTAAATCAGCTGATCGCCCAATGCAAATCTAATGGAAATTAAAAGTTACAAGTTGTAACTTGTAACTTGTAGTTTATTATGAAATGGGCCCCTGGTGTCACCTGTCTGCCATGTTATCTTATGGGACGTCTGGTGCTAGACAAAACTACTTGCAACCATACTTGTGACGTTGCCAATTCTACCAGGGCATGGCCTGTAGAGGTGGCCGTGGCGGATTTGTCTGGCTAGTGGAATAAAGAAAACAATGTAGCTGCATGGTTACTAACTGAGACATCTTTCAAAGGCATTATTCAGCAGACAGCAGCCGAGCAGCCTTGATTCAGATCAATGATCAATCCTGTGTGTGATTGATTAAAGTCTTGTGTGTGTTTGTGAAGATCACATTAACCTCAAATCTCACTTAACTTACTAACTTACTTGAATAGTTAAAGTACCTGGTAAAAGTGCAAGGCAAAATTTAAAACTGTTCCAGTAACAAGACTTGCATTCTCCTGCGGTTTTCGGTAGCAACACTTTTAACAATGATAAGATATTGCTCCAGTGTTAGAATACCTAGTCAATAATTTTTAATCCATATAGGCCTAGGCCTACATCATATTTGAGCAAAAAATTTGCATCATGAGTGATCCACTGAGAAATGTAAGATTAAGCTAAAAATTGTTCTTGATATTTAATTTACACTTATCAGGCCAAAAATAGTGGCCTCAAAAAAGTGGTCAAAATAGGCTAGGTCAATGGACAATAGCGTACCTAGGCTAACTTAATATTTTTTCAAAATTTGTTTTTGGAGAGCTGAAAGTAAAAAAATACCGATGACACGTTTTCACAGTTGTTTTACCTTTTAACAGTTGTTTTATACTTAGCTTGTCCAGCCAACCTGGCAACGGGGAATTGTACGTACATTTTGATGAACAGAAAAAATTCTGTGAATTTTTCCTATTTGGCCGCCTTCACAGAAAATAGTCACAGGAGTTATTGCTATCGTGGTATATTGTCACAATCGTGAGACATAGGCTTATGATATGTATTGACATTATCACCGGGAATATTAGCGGATGTTGCCGCGATTTTAAGACATTCTAACGTTTGATGATGTGATCGGGAGAAGCCGAGAATATTCATGGATTTTGTCACGATTGGTGGAATTTACCAAGGATGTTGCCGCAATTGCCTGAAATGTTTCCATTATTGCCAGAATGAACCTGTGTAGGTGTAAATAAATAAGTTTTGCGTAAGTTATTTGAGCGTCTGAAGTTTTGCCCTTGACATTTTGAACCTTGAAAACCTGTAATTGTTCTTGAGTTTTATTTTGATGTAACGCTCCAAGGGACACCCTGTTAATAATTATCAAGCTATCGGTGTAGTTTGATTATATACTGTCCTATCAAATTTATTTCTCAAAAATTTGGTTCATTTTATTTGGTTAGGCCTACCGGTAGTGTGTTTTGATATTGATTCAGATAGGAAATGTTGATTGAGGTCTGTGTTTCAGAAGAGGGCCACTATTTAAAGCTGACGCTGGCCATTACGTTTATGATGTCGCTATTTTCACTTGTGTGAGTTAAAGCTATAAACTAACCTAAACCTAAACTGGTTTTTCCACAGTTTAGATAGTTGCGGTCCTCTTCTGCAAAAACCCCGTTGACTGCTCCGATACTGTGCTCTATTTTTACACAAAACAACAGGACAATAAAAATAATAATAACATACAATATAACTTATGATAAAAATATGGTCATACCTATACTTACACGGTTTCATCTATATCATGAATACTTGAACAGAACCGGTATGGATTATAAGCATAAACAAATGACTTTTTTGGTCCGAAAATAAACACTATTTAACATTGTTTAAATGGAACAGTCCAAACCATAAATGCTTTTAGTAGGATTCGGGCCAAAAACGAATGTCATTTGTGTATAGGCCTAATTATGATCCATACCGGTTCTGTCAAAGTATTCGTAATCTATAAAGATAAGAACCAGGAACTTTAACTTTTGAGAAACCCGTAAGCCGCACACCTATCAACCGCATACCGGTTCTTGAACAAAAGGTCTGAATGTGAAATGTCCCTGAAAAACATCAGTTTTTCAATAAAAACCCTTTTCTAACAGCACATACCTTAAGACAAAAGGTTTTTTTGATCACATCTAAAATATTGAATTTAGTCAGCACTGTTACGTTTAATTTAATTTTATATTTTGTTTGTTTAGCTTTTCTCTTTACCTTTTGATTGTTAGGCCTATAGATTGTTTAAATGTACCGGTAAACGTTACAAAAGAAATTATTATTTTTGATTCTGCCACACAGTTTATTGGTAAAATAGATAACAAATCAATAAAATAAATAAAAAAATAAGTAAAATAGATAAATAGATAAAATAGATCTTCACTAAAATAAGAAATAAGTACAAAGTAGTGTGTTGTAACTTTTTCTTATAGATTTTTTTAACCACATTATTCTCTTCTGTATTCTCACCCTGTAGTGAAGCACGGGCAGAGCAACTAGTTTTGTTAAGATTTAAGTCATTACAAGCCATGATTGAGGCTTTGATGAGGCATTCTTATTTAAGCAACTCATATTCATTCATGTAAATTACTTTCTTGAATGTTATCCTATGTACGGTAATGTTAATTATAAACTAAACATATTTTCCAGTTCAAGGATTTTCTTCTGCAATACAATAGAATATCTGAAAGCTGTTTCCTCAGATGTATCAACACATTTGGCCAGCGGGACATGACTTTTGAGGAGGTAAGTTTTTCTTTAAATAGCCAACACAAAAATAGCTTGACAAATTTTACTGTCTTCAGGTTCTCAATCCTTCTGCAATGATATTATTAAAATTTAAAAACGTGTCTTTGGCTCACAAGTGGATGAACACCTTTAGTCAGATTATTGTAGTACAAGCAAATTGACTCTTCTACACATAGAAATCTTACTAAAGCAAGCAAATTCATAGCTTTATTATAAACAAACTGTTGATGATTCTGATTGAACAATGTACAAACCTACTGGATTGCGCTCTCAGTGACATTGGAGGCACTGTTGTTGGTCTTGCTCCCCCCACTCCCGACTGGCAGAAGCCGACACAGCCCATACACTCTCCAATTGAACACACCTTCAGTCTGTTGAAATATATTGAAATAATATATTGCTAAATGCTAACGTATGTCAAACTTTTTTTACTATTTAAAACTTTAGGCCTATGTCTTTTTTCTTTTTGTGTCTTGCAGAAAATAACACATTTGAACTCTTTAAAACCAAACATTCACTACATTTGATTTTAGGTGTTTTTAGACAATTGATATTGCTAGTTCCAAATTAAACATGTCAAAAAGAATCAGTAATGAGAAAGAAAGGATAGACAATAGAATATTTGTAATTTCAAACCCATCATTAAACAAAACTCATTACACACTAAACATTTCTGAATAGAATAATGTTGTTCAGTTTTTGCCACAGATCTATGTTTGACGTAAACACGATACTTTTTTCTTTTGGTTTTTTGTGACCTTCTAGGCCTATGTAAGATACATTGTCATCCATCACACGGTGATATAAAAATATCGCGTTTACGTCAAACATAAGTCTGTGGCTTGTTATTATGTTTTTATGTGTTTTTTCCCATGCAATATGTTTTTTTTACAAAATAGGTTTGTAATTACTTATTATTTTTCCATTTACAATTCGGAACTAGTAATATCAGTTGTCTAAAACATCTAAAATCGAGTTTAGTGAATGTGTAGTTTTTGACAATTAAAATGTGTTATTTTCTGCAAGAAACAAAACAGACATAAAGTTTTAAATAGTAAAAAGTGTTTGCCATGCGGTAGCAATAGATTCTCTCTATATATTTCAACAGACCAGGAACTAAAAAGGTGCGTTTTATAATGGTGAGTGTATGAGCTGGGTCGGCTTCTGCCAGTCGGGAGTGGGGGGAACTAGACAGTGCGACCAACACTGAATCAGTGATCCATGAGTTGCTTATCATTGATCTGATCGTACAATAAAAACTCAAACTTGTTTAGGATTAATTAGCCCAATGAGTGAGTTGGTTGTTCAATGACATATCTCCTGATGAAAACCTATCTTGTAAATTTGGCTGAATGTGGACCAATGCTTGCTTAGGTGTCAAACTAGGTAATTCATTAAGGATTTCCTCCTTTATTCATTTTAGTGAATTTCCCTATAGGAAAGTAGTAGCTATTAGTTAAGGTACAGTAGTTTTTAATACGTAAATAAAGGTATAAAGAAGATCATATTACTGGGAATAAAACTGTGAATAATTTTTTGAATGCTGCAATAAGGTGGGCCATGTCAGCTAACATGGATAATATTAACTGTTTGCTAAATCCACTTACACTTCAAAATCTCCCAAACTGCACTGTTATGGAATTAAGTCACATTTCTTGTTTCAGATCAACTGTTCGGATGCGTGTGTGCAGAAACATACAAAACTGAATTTAAAGGTGATGCAAGTTTATGTAGAAGTACAGCCTCAAATAGTTCAAAAGCGAATTGAAGAAATGAACAAAACCCAGCAAGTAGCTGCTGGACAAGAAGCCATAATTAACACTGCTGGTGTTGAAACTTCTCAAACTGTAGACGTGGCTGAGAAAAGCAGTACATTGCAAAGTTGATTACTGCTAGTCAGTTTAGCAGGAACATGAGTTGTATCATGTCAGAAGAACCCATCCCTAGTAGTCGGGAACAGTGTTATCAAACAAGTGTCTGTTTAGTTTTGTTGGTCGGGATCCCAGGTAGCGGAAAATCACATCTACGTAAATTATTAGAAAAATATTTCAAAAACACTTCAGAAATAGCTCTGGGGTCTTTGAAGATTGTTTCAGTGTCTTATGATGAGTTTGATAAAGTCAGGAACCCAACTCAGTTCAGTGACAGTGTCAGCTGGAAAGAAGAGAGACTGGACATTTTAAAAATGATTGAAAGTATTGTTAGAAACCTACAAAATAATGCCCCTTTGGAAAACCTTGCAAGCTTAGACAAATTGTTTATCATCAATTCTGACATAAAGAATCCTGACACAGTATTGTTCTTGATAGACGATAACATGTACTATCGTAGTATGAGGTATGAGTATTACAAACTTGCAAAGAATTGTGGTTTAAGTTTTTGTCAGATCTTCTTTGATGCAACAAAAGAAGATGCATTGAAATACAACAAGCTACGCGATTCTGGGTGCCAAGTTCCTGATTCCATAATCGAGAAAATGTATGAAAAACTAGAACCACCTGATAAAAATAATGCTTGGGAAGAGAACTTGATATCCCTTACTCCTTACAAAAAATTTGAAGAAAATGGAGATTTAGAAAATATTTTGGTGATGATAAAAACTGTGATAATGTCTCCTGTGCAACCAAACACCACAAGTATGTGCAGGGAAGAATCTCTAAAGATAAACAATTCAAATTCAATTCATCAAATCGACATAGCACTGAAACAACTTCTGGGTGAGTTTATAAAAAGAAAGACCAAGGTAAAGACTGATAACCTAAGTGTGATATCAAAATGCTATAGTGAACAACGACTTTTAATTTTAAAAGAAATCAAGTGTGGAAAAATTGCTCTTCCAGTTGATTTGAGTCAACCTGTTAGCTCACAGGATATTGAACTAATTAAACCGTTGTTGTATGAACTATTGAATTCTACACTTGATTCTTGATTGTTGTTTATTTGGTTACATGTTGCCTTTTCTTAATGATTTCTGTTACTTTACTTGTTATATTTTACCTTTTGTAAGTATTAAATGTTCATTCAAAATATAAAAATATGTAATGATAGTTTGTGATTGCTAAGACCCCTGTTGCAATTTAATTAATAATGTTTCAAGCCAAAATTGTTAAAAAAAAGATTACTCCAGGGTTTTACAAAAGTAAATAACTTAATACCTTGTATCTTTGATGTCCTTTCAAAATCCTTATTTTAATCAAGAGGCTGTAAGCAGATGTCTCCTTTTATTAGCTTTATTAAAATACAAACCTCAGTATACCAGTGAAAGGGTTGTTATAAGCTGTTCATTCTGATCAGGGGCAAATATATCCTATTGTACGGTATCAAAAACAAATAGGCTGTTTTATCCTCACACTGATTAAATTTATTTATATACAAGAGGTTCTAAAAGAGGTTATACCGTGCGAATTCACGGGTGTACAGAAGCCACCATTAAATTAATTTAATCAACTTTGACTTTATATTTCATTTAAAGGGCCCAAGCTCGAGAAATTGTCGTCTTAAAGGATGTTAAAAGCAGTGGAACCTTCATACCGTACGTCCTGAGGTGGCCGAGGTGGGTACGGTTGTACCTGAACTTGCCGCTCTCCTCCACGACGTCTGTAATACTTTAATACTTTTCAATGAAATGGCAACCTGTTAAAGATCGGTGACAACCTCTTGGAACGAACAACACACATGGTTTGTTACTCTCATATTCATCGTGTTTCGATCACCTTTAGTCACTCACTTGTATCAAACAGCTACAAATAGCTTCACTGTCCACTTACCGAACCTCTTTTAAGAACACAAAACTAAATAATAAAATAAGTAAAAAAAAAATGTAAACAAACAAACTATATTGTCAATTGCATTGGCCAGCTGTTGTTCACTAACACTTAATCGAATAACTTTAACTTCCAAAACATGCAAGGCGTAGCCCTTTGGAAATCAGCCTGTGGGGCAGAGCCCTTAGGGAGTTCGTCCATATCAATACTTTTCGGCAAATCTACACACTCTGAGCTTCATTTTGATATGCCATATGCCTATATTTTCACTTGATAAATGGCCTTAACCGTTTACATAAAATTTGATTGTATCACTTTAATAATACAATAGATTAGCCTTACTTGCTTGTTCTATATTGGGCAACTTTGCTTTAATCACCCAACCTTAGTATGGCAGTTGGAAATTTTGAAAATTGTAATTAAATAATAAATATGAACTTTGAAGGCCAAAGGTGAGAAAACACAAAAACTTACAATTAATCTATCATATATTATTCATATAAACAAACTCTACTTAGTGTATATACAGTCTTCACAATTCCACCCATCATCATAATTTAGAGCAGCGAAGACAGTTCTTGATACTGAAACAAAAAGAAAAATCTTCATAGTTTTGATGGTTTTCTACATAAGCAAATTAATTCAGCTATACCACAGAGAAGTGAGATCACAGAGGATACAAGCTTATGGGACAACCGTGTGCTTTCAGCACTGGTATGTTGGGGCAGAAATATACTTGTTACGAGCGAGAAAAAGACTGAATGGGGAGCACTGTGCGGAAAAACCTATTGCATAGGGCACAGGGTCTTCCTCCACCTAGAGCGTTAGTACATAAGAGCAAGGCAAGGGGGGTCATTACCCTAGACACCAGCGCTAGTGCCAGACACCACTTAAGTGTACCATTGAATGTTTCCTCTGTATCTTACTTATCTGTAGCTATACCCATTGGTGATCTAGCAAATGCATGCAAAATGCAAACTTTTTAGTAGCATTTATTTACACTGTGGTTTACAATAATCCAAAACACTTGTTAAACTAACAGCCTACAATGTTATTTGACTTCATTGGGTTAATAATTTCACATAAGTGTGTCAAAACATGGATATTTACAGACAAAACGATACAATTAATTTATGGTCGCCTTTTGTTTCAAGAAATACCGGTATTTTAAAACAAAAACATAAAACTTGATTAGGTTCCCCTTATTTAACAGCTCAACAAATTTGAGAATATTCCCTGTGTATATTTAGTTCTCCAAAGTGATTTTCTATCCATCACGACTCACCAAACATTTTTTTTAAAATCTGTATCAAGTGTATTATAATAAACTCAGATATGGTTTATGTATTCGGAAAAATATATGTATTGGAAACTCTTCTATTTTTTCAACTGTTGGACGTAAATTACAGATCTAATATTCCAATACATTAATTTTGTGGTTACAAAAATAGATTCAAAAACACTAAAACATTCTACCTTTCTTGAGATTAATGCAAATATTTAAAAAATAGGTACCAAAATACAAACCTTGAATAAAACACTACTACAAGACCAACCTGTTGCTCTTTCTCTAGCTGTTCTTGCAGTAGGTTGTCCAGAATGTCCTGGAACCGTTGTCGCAACGCGTAGTTCTCAATGTTAGCGATCTCCAGCTCTTGTTGGTGTCTGCGCACCTTCAAATCAGCCAGCTGCTGTTGTAAACTCTCCATTCTGCCTCGGATCTCAGCTGAACACACAATTCAAATGTATTGTGAAAACAATGCATTGGAAAATATGCTTCACTTACAACTGAAGTAACATTTATGGAAAAAAATGAAGATTCATTAGACTGAAAAGTCCAGCTATATTAAGCTTCCTTGAGGAAACAGGGAACCAGAAAAAAAAACTCATATAAAACCTCCATTTCACACTTGTATATAACTTCTTATTCATCTCTAGTGGGCCTACGCACAATTAATTTTCATATCTTGGTCCAAAACAAATCGAAAATACTTGGCCCAGTAAAAGAAGGAAAATTACTTGAGACAGTAAATAGGGAAGAGGAGGAAGACCCAAGACAAGATGGAGGAACACTAGAAAAATGGGAGCAGAAGAAGAAATAAAGTGATACACACTGTAACATAATTAAATTGTAGGCTAGGTCAAAGACTTTTATAGTTTGAGTGGCCATAAACTTACTAACCTAACCTAACAGAGGAAAGGAATCTAATCTCTATCCCCCCCCCCTGCCTAGATCATCTTAACCGATGATTAAGCTGCAAATGATTTAGCTGTCACGTATTTTGTTGTAGGTATGTCAGCCTACAACTTTTGAAAGGCTTTGGTAAGAATTATGACTCTTAACAAAAATAGGATTGACCAGACCTGTCTTCCCTTCACTTTTACTTGCCTGTGGACATCTGGTGGGTTGGAGAGGACAGGTATTGTTGCCCGGGACTGCTCAGTTCTGACTTGAACATGTCGTAGCCGTAGCTGATGTTGTCTGCTGCACCCTCCGTCTCCTCTACCTTTACATCCCCCTCCCCTTCAACATCTTGAGGACTGAACATCTCTTTGGTGAATTCTGTCACTAGACTAGTGGACGGCTGCTGGTCAGACGACTGTGTACCCTGCAGTAAACAAGGCTATCTTAATCTAGATTTCCACAGTCAAAGTAGACTGCCCTTAACATCTTAGCCTTCAACAGATGACCAGGTTATTGAATGTTATAGGCCTACACTTATTTATTACTCATCTAAACAAAGCTAAATGTTCATAATTTTCATAACATCACTCTATTTATCACAGTTAGATTAATAAGTTTTTTAACCTTGAAATTAACCGTCAATTTTAACAGGTTACACCTAGTTATCAATTATGAGATGGGGATGCCACCTAGATGAACCAAATATTATATACACCCAAATATGAGTGAAGGACGAGTGTAGAATGGAGTGAGATGACATTTGTAGCTTTGTTACTGACTAAGATCAGCTGTTTAAGTACCGGTAGCCAGGATCATTCATTTAAAGCCCAATGATCAGTAAAAGCTGGGTCCAATTTCAAAACCATGAGAAAGCAACTGACTTTTCATAGAATCAAACCCGACAGTAATACTTACTAAATATTACTTACACCACATTGTAAAGCTACTTACATGTAAGGAAGCAGAGTCGGACAATCTGCTGTCTTCAGCCGTCAATCGACTGTTCTCCTCCTCCAGTTCAAGAATGTTGATGTTCTGGTCTTCGTCTTCTGAATCACTTACAGCCTCTCCGAATATGTCATGTTCAGCTACAATCCAGAATGATATTACAGTAGACTCCCTCTAGTTCGGCCACCTCGGGACCGGACCACTGGCCGGACTACAAAATGGCCGGACTAACCGGATGTAGTGCATTTTACATAATCAAAATACAAATAATAGTATTGCGCAATCATGATATGTTAAGTCATTAACCTTGGTTCAGCAATAAAAACTGTAACGTTTAAAATCACGTTTGCTTACTCAAGCAAAACATAAATTACACAACTCTGTACGTACAGCAATAAATCACGTAAAGAACAGAACAATATGAAGTCTAGTACTGTACTGCAAGCTACTGCTATCATAGTCAGCATAGGCTACTACTACATGTTGTTTCAGAACATAAAAATGTCAATAAAACATTAGATAACTCATAAAACAGCATAAAATCATAGTACTTAGTCTTAAAGATAATAAGGACAGTCGTAAAATAGGATAAAGATAACAATGGATGACATAAAACACCGCTTATACTTTCTTCTTCTTTCTTTGGTTTCTCTTCATCCACACATTCAACAAGTTGCCATGGTTACTAATCACCCAATCACAAACTGTTGTGAGATAGCAAGCGTACAGCAGACAGTTGTGTAAAGAGCAGATGATTGTCAGTGCAAGCGGATAGCTTGACCTTGAAGCTAACGATGCTATTTCTTTGTTCTGCTTCAATTTATTTTTGTCAAATAAACCGTGGTGTTTCAAAAACAATAATGGGGGAACCTACCGCATAAAAAATGGTCCGAAATATTTAATTATACATTGCATTTCAACACATTAGACTGAAGAAAAACTAGGAATTAAACTATAAAATTATCTTGGTATTTTTGAGGTTATGTAACATAGTTGTTACATAGGTAATATGCAAAATTCACCCATAGAAGCACGAGTGTCAACTAAACTGACATGAATTGTTTACTTCTATGGCCGGAAACTAAAAATTAAAGTTGAATCCTGTCGAAGGTCATTCGCCCGTGACGATATGACTTGTCCCCCTGAGACCGGGCCGGACCATCCGGCGGCCGATCCAACCGAAGCCGAACTAGAGGGAGTCTACTGTATTGAAAAAACTGGATTACTAAGCGCAGTATTTTATTTAAGATTTAAGGCTAACGTTAAAAACGTTCCACATAATTTAAACTTGATTATGCTTCACAGCATCAGTATGCCTATTCAGTGTATTTATAATTTGTGTACAGAAAAAATAGCCTACTGTTTTCTAAACCAACTTGTTTTTATTCAAATGAAGTAGAACATATTTTTTATTTGTTTTTTCAATGTCATTAGCACTTTTTTAATTTTTTATAAGGGAACCGTCCAAACTCTGGACTTGAAACTTGAAACTATTATATATTGACCTTTTGTTAGATAGCATTGTATGGGTAGCCCAATGAATGGCATCTGGGTTCAAAATCAATCTTGCTTTAAAAAAACAGCAATCAGAATAACACCAACGGAGTGCACAGTTACCCAGACAAAGATTATCAGTTTTTTTAGATCAGCAACGAATGTGTTCCACTCACCAACATCAACACTATGTTGTGTACTGTCGGGATTGTTAGCAACACCCTGCGCGAGGGGCTCTTCCTTCACCACCGAGCCAGCCGTGTTCGCCTTCTTCTCATCCTCCTCGTTTATCACTTCCCACCTCACACTCACTGCCTCGTTGTCCCCTCGCAACAGTCGCTTTACCTGCAATCATGTCATTCGGTGAGTATTCCATAAGTAGGATCACACGATCAGTGTCAGAAATCATCACTTTTCACCCTCCTCAGATTGAATTTACTGCAAGAGGTTTTGTCCCTCATTGATTAAATTCATTGAGTGATAGTGCCGCATCTTCAAGGCCAAGCCTGGAGTAATATGAAAAACACTTGCGGCTAGAGCATAGTAAAAATACCCCTATACCTTACTTGTATAATGGGAAAGATCTGCAGACACGCAATAAGATTTGTCGGTTCAAAATTCATGGTTTTGCTGTATTTGCTGCTGTTAACGATTTTTCTAAGACTGTGGGAGACTCTGATGATGTCTCTGAGACTGAGGAAGACGTCCACAATGTCCCTGAGCCTACTGAGAATGCTCATATAATTTTACACAACCTTCACACAAGGGCACAAGACATTGCGTTTTTACTGCAACCGCACGAGACACTAACAATTTTGTCTCAACCACTGGGAATGTTCACGATTTAACCGATTATGTATAATTAATTATTTTATAAACTGATTTTAGTATACAAATTTCGATCCTGCTAAATCAATACTTTACAAGTAACCCGATTTTGGGCCGAGCCAATTTAAGCCCAGGCCCGAAGGTCAAACTTTTTTTACCCAATCTGATCCGAAGAAAAAAAGTCTGGCCAACAAAGTGATCACACAAACTGGACTAATCTCAGTCAAGCTGAAGATACTCTTCACGGTAAGAGCAAATCATCTGGCAAAGAATTATAATTTAGTTTTGATAGTTTCTTAACATTTCTCTCAGTGTAATAGTGCAAGATGAATTAAAAATTCCAAATTACCTCTTTCTCTATTTCTGGAGCTTCGACATATTTCTTCTTAAGTGTTTTCCTAAACCTTCGTTTTCGAACATTTTTCAATGGTGGGGTTATCCCGTGTGGCCACAAAAACTTCTTTTCCACCTTGTTTGGATCCTTTTTCTTCTGTTTTTGCGGAGATTCTTCATCAGTTGTTGTGTGGTCATCTTCTTCTTTGCAAATTACAATCTAAAAAAACAGACTAAATAAATAGATGAGTTAGGTGATTAACATCAAATAATTTATTAACAGTTACCTGCTTGTTTATAAAAAAAATAGCTTTGATCTCTGTAGTAGGGTATTGTCTTCACAGTTTTCTAATATACAATGACGTGTCCTATTTCTTTTATAAAGATCAATGGAAATAAATATTTCTTATTCTTATTGAAACTAACAAAACTGAAACACCATAAACCAGTAAAAACTGAGCTACCCTCAACTGTCAAATGGATCAAACATCGGAAAAAATTCCTCCCACCGTGATTTTGCCTCGTGTCCTTTGTCATGTTGTCAGATCAACACGACTGTGATAATAGTGACCACGTGTGTGAAAATATTTTTGTAAAAATTATAGTGATGAGACGTGTTTACACAAGGCAGGTTACAGGGCAGCTTTCTGCCTCTACTGTATTTAAATCAAGTTACCAGAGGCAGTTTAACCTGTCTGCCAACTGGCTTCATGTAAAAAGGCTTTAAGTGATAAGAAGATAAATTAAAAAGATTTTCAAGGTGCCACACAAGCTAGCGAAAATGCATTAGGAGACACAAACATCTTATTTACTCATGATCACAGTCAACAACAACAAAAGTAATCTAACATAAAGGCGTTTAAGTGAACTTTGCTTGTTGCATTTTCTTGAACAAGTTATAAATACCTGACAAATATCTGCTGTCTTGTAGAAACTTTTCTTGTCAATAGTTTTCATTGATTCCAAAATGGTAGGAAGGTCCAAAACCTAAAAATATTATGCTATCAAACTATAAATGAGTACAGTACATTATTTGTAGTAGGCCCTACAAAGTCAACGATAACACATTATAATGATCCACTAGAGGTAAAAAAATTATTATTTCAAAGCACTGTGACAGGACCAAGGGCAAAAATAGCTTTTAAAAAACTAAATATCATATCGTAAATTAAGTTAAATCAATTTGGCATAAGTTAAAACTTACAATCAAGAATATTTCTACACCCTTAACAAAAACAGATCTGGGAATTTTTATTGTCTTATAGTTAAAACATAATTTAAAAATTTCACAGATTGACATGTACAGGTGTAACTGATTACTTATTTATAATATAGCAGAGGGTACGCGTCCGGTAACCGGGCGTGGATTAGGCGTCCGGCGGTTACTTTCATAACCTAACCTAACTAACCAAACTTGCTGATAGAGAAAAAATCGAATGAAGGTTAAATTCTGTTCTAAAATGCCTAAAATTTGAACAAAAGATGTACAGTTAAGAAGAAATGGCATTGTAAGCAACATCTTTGACAAACAGTTAGTGTCACCGATGGGATTCGATCTAGATACCTCTTGTACATCACCCGAAAACTCTATCCACGAATACCGATGGCTGTACATCGTATCGTTGTGGTAGGGCCCCCACAACCCGGTGACGTCACTGCCAGATGCCTAAACCACCTTTAGTTACCGGACGCGTATCCTCTTCGTTAAAATATATACAATTATAGTTTCTCCACATAATTCTCTTATAGGCTATACAGTACTTATTATCATTATTTCCATTGTCAACAACATTCATAATTCTATAGTGAAAACAGTGGTTGGTAAAAATTACGAGCTTTAAACCTGGCCCAAGCTTGGTAACATGCTGTGTTCTTTTTGAGAATTTCACATAGCCAATACAAGGGTACGGTACCTACCTTAATATGTTGGTTACAATAATGATAATTACCTTAGCATGCATGAGCCAATGATCCATGCGGACCTCTCCATATCTCATATCATTTTCAATCTTGATAGAAAGCCGATCCTTCAGACTTGTAACTCCACTTCGCACCAATTCCCTGAGTGCTTTTGCTGGTTCCTATAAAGTATGTAGACAAGATATAAGTTTGTGGGAGTAAGTTTATCATCAGTCTTAATCCTACTTGATTAGACTTAGGCCTAACTTACAGGATTTCATTGTACAAATCAATGAGTTTAGCTAGAGATAGGTTATACAAGTCCATTATGTGTGAGGGTATGAGAAAATTAGGCATAGGCATTTACAAGCATTGACAAAAAGTTATTAGCATGAAAGATAAAAACCCATATATGTATTATTAAATAATGTCGGAGAAGTTTGGGGTACAGTTTCTTAACTGAGCTATGCAAATATTGGTAATTCTGAGCAATTAACTTACTTGGTCAACCCCAATTTTTTTCATATTTTACTACGGTCATCAGGAGGATCTCAGAAAGCAAGAAACATATAATTCAAGCCCCGTGAGGTTAAGTTAGGTTAGGTTAAGTTAGGTTATTAATTAACCTAACCTAACGTAACGGTACTGTTACAATTGGCCTTAGAGATATATTTGAGACTAAAAAAAACATAATAAGTTAGGTTAGGTTAGGTTCCGTCACAGAGAAAAGGATTGTCGGAGAAACCACTAGCCATAGCCATAACGGTACTGTCACAACTGGCCTTCCGCGCGTCTCCCGCAAGCCACTGTTATCGCTTGGACTTTGAACCTTCTTATCGCTCGGCAACCTGTACGATGGCCTTGCGGGCCTTGAATTATATGTTTCTTGCTTTCTGAGAACCTCCTGATGACCGTAGTAAAATATTAAAAAAATTGGGGTTGACCAAGTAATTGCTCAGAATTACCCTAATATTGATTGAAACTATCGAATTGAAAATATTGATTAATAATCAATATTTTTAAATATATCTATTAGAAAATAAAACGGCTGCACTTTACTTTAGGTCCTACACTCCTTCAAATGAAAATATCGATCGATATATCGATTGTTTCATTTGATATATTGTTTGGATAGTTAGGTAAGGTTAACCTAACCCAAACGATATTTTCATTCAAATGAGTGTAGGACCTAAAGTAAAGTGCAGCCAATAAAACTATCATAACCTAACCTAACCAACCAAACTTGCTGATGGTGAAAAAATCGCAAGAAGGTTTACTAATCGAATCGATAGTTTCAATCGATATTAGCATAGCCCAGTTATGAAACTGTACCGGAAGTTTGAGCTTATATATGAAGAACATTGTGAGATTTAAAAAATAAATATCGGTTTATTTACAATGTAAATAAACCCAACAACTCACTTGAGGCAGCCTTAAAATAAATTGACTTTCCAATTCTGCTGGGGCTTCTGCTTCCCTTTTATTGTCAATATTCCGATTCATGGTAAATGCCTTTAAAAACTATCGGTGTTTATTGATGGTTTATTAAAAATATTATGTTTATTTTTACACGCCTACGCCTGTTACTTAATTTTGTTTCAAGTTCAGTGCAATCAATGCAATAGTATGTATTAGGCCTATGTGTAATGGGAATAAGTTGACAAGACACTACTGTATGACACTGCACTGACAGGAGGGAGGAGGAGGAGGGAGACAGGACAGACTCGACAGACTGAGACTGGAGGGAGACTGGACTGGAGTGGAGAGATACGGAGAAGGAGAAGGAAGACCAAGACCGTTGCTTTTTGCCAGTACTACCACTTCTTCCACTTACATTTTTTAATATTCATTCAAAGTTAATAAAGGTAATTTAATATTCATTCAATTTTATCCTACGCAAACGCTTCTCTCTATGGCACGCTTTCTGCTTTCACTATTTAAAGTACCTATATAATTTTAAATTCCCCAACACATTAATAATTATCCCCAGAAGTTTAAAAGAGGGCTATACAGTAATATTATTGATATATAATACAATAGTTGTTGTTATTTTTTTATTATTTTGTATTTTTTCGATGCACTACTGCAAGATGAGTGGCCCTGGCCTGGACCTCTATTTGTGCAGTTTACACTAACAACGCTCGGGAGAAAGCTGGCCTAGTGGTAGAGCTCGGGGCTTTGGAGTCAGGTTTTGGGTTTAAATCCCCCAATCACAAACTTATTTTACCTTGTTGAAGTAATTTGGAAAACAGTTCTGGGATTGAACCTAGGATTCTTCTAGGATGGAAGGTGGGACATAAAAAACACAAACAAAAAATTAATAACGCATGGATAGGTATATAGCATCATACCATTATCTAATACAATATTTATGTAAGTGTGTTAATTACGCCATAAGATATATTACGACTAAGCCGTAAGCCACTGGTGGTAGTATTGCTTTATTTATTCATCTCAATTATTATACCATTTACAGTTATATGTATAGATATACACGGAATGGGTTTAAATACATCACAAAGAAAATGTGAGTGCTTTCTACGGTATAAAACCGGGGGACAAATTCACACTAATTATTACTAGAACTAGAGTGGGAATTTTAAATTTTTCTCCCCGTCACGGCCACCTTTAACTCCAAGCAGCGGCCTGGTAGAATCGGGTAGAATCAGCAACATCGCAAGTAGTTTTGTTTAGCGCCAGACGTCCCATGAGATAAATTGGCAGACAGGTGACACCAGCTTGTTAATTTACGTGTATTAGTCATTTAAATTTATGAACATAAATTTATTACACATTAAAAATAAATAAAACACATGGAATTGAAAACCAAAACAATATAAATTTAAAATCTATTGCTGTACATTTTAAGGTGGAGTAAATTTTTCCTAGCCCAGTAAACATTCGTATTCTTAAAAAAAATATGTTTTATTTTCAGTAATTTAATACATTTATATTCATAAATTTAAATTTAAATCAATAAAGTGAGAATTAATGGGCAGTTAAAGGTGGCCGTGCCGTGGTCCTCGTCCGTCCTCGTCCACCTTGTCAATCTGTCAGCCAGCACCAGCAGGCTAGACTAGAGCGAGAGCACAGAGCAGTGTCAAAAAAATCAGCAGAAGAGCAGACAGCCGTCAGTGTCACTCCATCCATGGTCAAACCCAAGGGTCAACCCACTCCCACTCGCGCTTCATTCATTTGTCAAATAAATAGGTTAGGTCGATAGTTAAAATATTTTGATTTAAGAGTTTTCAAAGAATCTTTTAACTTTAGCAGTTATCAAGTTTAATTGACAGTGCATTTAGCATCATTTTAAGATGAATATCCCGCCAATGCAACAAGGTCCTGTACTCCAGCAAGTCATGAGCCAACAACCCGGTACACAAAATGCTCCACAAATGCAGCCTCAAATGCCTCAGCCTCACTCCCAAGAAAAATTAGATAACATATCTAAAGTAAAATCCCTTATCGGCCAGCTAAGAGAGTCTTTAGCAGTAAGTATCATTTTTATTATAACTATCAATAAGTTGGGCCTAATGTGACATATCATATGTATTAGGCCTATTATTTGTTACGCAGAGGCAGAGGATACACGTCCGGTAACAGGACGTGGATTAGGCGTGCGGCAGTTACTGTCATAACCTAACCTAACCAACCAAACTTGCTGATAATGAAAAAAATCAAATGAAGGTTCAATTCTCTTCATAACATAAAATTATAAATGCCAAAAATTCTAACAAAAGATGTACAGTTAAGAAGAAATTACATTCAAAGCAAAATCTGTGACAAAAAGTTAAAGAAACCGATGGGTTTCGAACCAGGGACTTCTTGGATATCAGCCGAGCACTCTATCCACTACACCACGGACAATGCTGGACAAACATCGTATCGTTGTGGTAATGGCGTTCCGGGACCCCACAACCCGGTGACGTCACTACCGGACGCCTAATCCACGTCTGGTTACCGGACGCGTATCCTCTGTGTATTTGTTATAGAATCAAATCCATTCGATAACAGTTCAAGCTCGCTAAAAACAGTTATGTGGAAAAATCTATCACTATCATTTAAGCTATTTGCTTGGGAGAGTCCTTTACCAAATTTCAGCAGGAATAACCCATTAAGCCTAGGCCTAGGCCTTAGCGATTTTAATATTAAAAATTGTTACAATGTTGTCTTTACTTTTAGGTTACTCTCAAGAATGCTGCCCATGCGTTGCATCAAAACAGCCAAATAGATGTAGGAACTGTGTAAGTAAACTTAAGCCTACTGTAAAACTTCTGCCATTCAATTATGTCATAGACATTTTTAAGAACAACGACCTAACTTATTAAAATTCTCATACTTGTTGCAGTTAGCTGTTAAGCCTGATTGATCTTTGATTGCTTAGTTTAGGCCTACTGTTTGACTAACTTGATACAATGGCGTTGTCACTAGCGCTTGATGAAGAGGCCTTTTGAAGGACTTTAGCTTAATATAAAATTGGTGATTATGGGAAGAATTTTAGGGTTTGGCCACAGAAAACGTACTACTATAACCCAGAATGCCAACCGCATGGTAAAAAGCATTAAGCGTTTTGAGAGAGCTTTGCCTGTCAATCCGTAGGCAGCGCCACCAGCGTTGCCATGCACTCAGCATAGCAACGCTTGTGGCGCTGCCTACGGATTGACAGGCAAAGCTCTCTCAAAACACTTAATGCTTTTTACCATGCGGTTGGCATTCTGGGTTATAGTAGTACGTTTTCTGTGGTTTGGCTAAGGCAACATCCAGACCATAATATCAATAATTATTTAAGATTGGGACCCCACTATGGCATGTCTAGGTCTACTGCTTTGCGTGTCCTGTACGTAGGCAGGTATTCCCAGGTAGCTTTATTTTCCTCTTGGAGACTAAGGATCACAAATACAACCTGACTGTAAACTGTGAATAGACCTACTTGCCGTTCTACGAAAATAAGTTGGCAGTGATCATAGTACGCCCGCAGATGTAATTACTCAAAGTACCATCTTATCGAGTAGCAAGACTTGATGCGCAGCAGCAGAGTGACCCCACATTACCAAGCCATACATTATATGACTGAAAGAGGGCGTGCTATGCAGTCATAAAATGTGTCGTTTTGTGTTGGTTTCCAATCAAAGTTTTGTTAGCTTTGGTAGATGATACATGAATGCTTAACACATATACCTTTTCTACATGGGAATTCTAGTCTATTAAGTAAGAACCCTTGGTTATGTAAGCTATACTAGACATTCTAGTCCCGTGTTACAGTTGTGGCAAATATTAAAATAAAAATTATCTTAGTTGGATAGCCACCTAATGTGCTGGTGTAAATTACTGATTTCTTTTGAATAGCCTACTACGACCAATCAAATTCAAACATCACAGTAACATAAGCTAAGAAAGAAAATATAAATTTAGACTGTAGCACAGACTGTGTGAGATTCATTCAACAATTTTTTTTAATGGTACACAGTTTGTCCATATAGACGTGGGTCTACTTCAGTTTCCAAAAGTCAATGATGAGAACCTAGATATTAGTACCCTAAATCAAGGGTTCAATTCTTTCCCTATTATCAACCTACATCACCTGACTACATCTCACCCAGGGTTGCCACCCATCCCGGTTCTGCCGAGACAGTCCCCATTTTGGTTCATTATGCCCGTATTTAAGCCTATGTTAATCCGCGAGGGGGGCAATGTCCCGATTTTTCCTGGCCTACTGTAAGGTGGCAACCCTGATCTCACCTGAAATTTTAAAATTTCTATGCATCCTTACTATGTATATGTAAGTTACATGTCCGGCAAAAGAGCTTTATTAAAATGTGAATTTTTGCTTTCAAGATTATTTTTCGACTATCAAAATAAAAATAAAATTAGTCCAGGCAAACTAAACAAATTTACATAGGGACCGTTAAAAAAATTGCAAGAAAACGTTTTATGGTTTTATTTTGTAGAGTTGGGTTTGCAGAATGACATACTAAAAGTTGCCAAAAATCGGTGCATGAGAAAACCACTAAAATCACAATTTAAAATGGCGGCTTTTTTCAACATTGGACAAATTAAAAAAACATATTTCACATGCATTTGCTATGCACATTTTTCGAGATATTGACTTGGGACCACCGCCTGTATTTATTGAGTGTTAGTACTTCATTTTGATAGGGAACATGTTTTTGGCCGCCATCTTGGATCCGCCATATTGGACATAGATAATTTTTTTTCAATGTAATGATAGTGTTGTGACACATCATTACCAACTACATTTTTACACTGATTTCAATGCCGAAATCCGTTTTTAAATATCTTTATTCATTTAGAAGATATATACAAAAGAAAACTCTGCACCATACATTTCTTATGGACGTTTCGTAGTTTGATTTTTTTTTTAATTATTTTTCTTATATCTCCAGTTCTTATTAACGCTTGTAGTTCGTTCTAGGCTTAAAATATTCAGTAATGTAAGGGCTTTCATTTGAGCTCTTGATCATTAAAATCAGACGAGTTAAAGACCTGCTACGAACCTCAGAACAATATTAAATTTAACTTTTTAGAAATATATTTTTATTAAAATATTTATAACTCGGGTTGTTAATACGTCACCAAGTTCTTTCTTGTCTCAAATTACTCAGTGAATGTTTAGCTTTGATTTTATTAATCACTAAACAAAATCTGACAATTTTAAAATGAGCCACGGACCATAATTTAACATTAAAATGTATTTATTTTGAAATTTGTCTTTAGTTAAGGACATATATCCCAAACCCTAATAACTCCTGGAAAGTAACCCATAGCTAAAATAAAAGTCAATATTTTGGCAAATTATTTAAGACTATAAAGAGTTTTGGGAGTTATTTAGAATTAGGAATATACGTCTTTAACTAAAGACAAATTTCAATATAAATACATTCTAATGTTAAATTATGGTCCATGGCTCATTTTAAAATTTTCAGATTTTGTTTAATGATCAATAAAATTAAAGCCAAACATTTACTGAGTAATTTGAGACCAGAAAGAACTTGGTGACGTATTAACAACCCGAGTTATAAATCTTTTAATAAAAATATATTTCTAAAAAGTTAAATTTAATATTGTTCTGAGGTTCGTAGCAGGTCTTTAACTCGTCTGATTTTAATGATCAAGAGCTCAAATGAAAGCCCTTACATTACTGAATATTTTAAGCCTAGAACGAACTACAAGCGTTAATAAGAACTGGAGATATAAGAAAAATAATTTAAAAAAAAAATTTCAAACTACGAAACGTCCATAAGAAATGTATGGTGCAGAGTTTTCTTTTGTATATATCTTCTAAATGAATAAAGATATTTAAAAACGGATTTCGGCATTGAAATCAGTGTAAAAATGTAGTTGGTAATGATGTGTCACAACACTATCATTACATTGAAAAAAAATTATCTATGTCCAATATGGCGGATCCAAGATGGCGGCCAAAAACATGTTCCCTATCAAAATGAAGTACTAACCACTCAATAAATACAGGTGGTGGTCCCAAGTAAATATCTTGAAAAATGTGCATAACAAATACATGTGAAATATGTTTTTTTAATTTGTCCAATGTTGAAAAAAGCCGCCATTTTAAATTGTGATTTTAGTGGTTTTCTCGTGCACCGATTTTTGGCAACTTTTAGTATGTCATTCTGCAAACCCAACTCTACAAAATAAAACCATAAAACGTTTTCTTGCAATTTTTTTAAGGTCATATCCTATATTTACCCGACTAAATAGGAATGGAAACAAATATTGTCGTCCAGTAAACTACCTTCATGAGGTGTGTTACTGCCCTAGAACTATTATTCTTGATACATAAAGCAAGTGTATTTTTGAAAGTAGGTAATTATACTCTCGGTAAATATCTGTTGTAGGAAGTCAGTTGATATGCCTCCACCACCTCGATTTGACAAAAGTATGGAAGAGTTTTACTCAATATGTGATCAAATTGAACTTCACTTGGTAAGTTTTTCCAGATAAACCATTTTTTATGTGTGATAAACTTTTTTTATCAGCACTCTTACCTAAGATATACTATATTTTCGGTACATATTTCTACCTAATGGGATAATAAATAGAGTATAAAAACTTCAGATTAAAGGATCAACCCTACTTATTGTTGGGTTCGTGGGTTGAATGGACTTTGGAAGTGGACTAAATGAATACGAGAGTTTTACATGATTATAACACGGCCACAAACAGGTGGTTAAGGTTCAACTATTGGAGGTAGACTAGGCTGTTGAAGGAACGGACGGACATGGACGGTGGTGTGATGTAGGTGGAGAGGGTTTTTGGCAGAAAAGTATTTTCCATACACTGCACAAATATTAAATACAAAGATTCCTTTGGTTAAACAATTAATGACTAAGACCCTGCAAATAAAATATTTGCTTGCAGGACCACTTTGATCAATTGTTCTGTAAGCTAATGTTTCAACAAGCTACTATATAAGTTTACAAGTTAGAGCAAACAATAATACCAATCCTTATCTCTATTGATACAGGGTGTCCCTGAACTCTACCAAAATTTTAAGGTATCATTCCTGGACCAAAGACAAACTAAAATATTTAGTTAAAATTTCGAAAACTCAAAAGTTAGGTACCTGTACAACCACCCTTTTGTTTTTTTCATGGAACTATTGTTTATTTGCTAATAGATTTTTGTTTTGAATTGACATTTTAAGCGGCAACGCGAGAACATGGGAATGGCCAGAATACAAGTGGCGTGAAGTAGTGAAAATTACATCACGATTGGTTATTTACGTTATTTTGTTTAAATAAAATACTAACTTGGAACACTGAAGATTCAGGTGGATCGTCTAAGCCTAAGCAAAGTGTTCATCCCATTAACAAGTGCATGGTGAATACTATCCTTTTTTTCGCTGACTGAGGCAAGATGAACACCGTTTTTTTTTTTTTTTTTTTTTTTTTTTTAGATACCTACTTCAGTTTCCACATTACAACTTTCTAAAAAACTTGGCCTTTTTGCACGTGACAGTGAGCTGGTAGGTCTGACATAATTGCTAAATGACAGAATGAGGAGCGGCAACACAAACATTTTATGTCAAGGGATGGCAGTGAGTGGCACCACAAATTTTGAACAAATTGAAAGTCTTTCAAGCCGGATCCAGGCGATTGTGAACTCGTTTCACAAATTATCGTCAGCATCTCCACCCTGCCGCTTGTATCGTAATCAGGGTCGTAGGCTGTAACACCAAACAATGTTTCGATTCCAGTCTTCGGTGCATTGATCATGTTAAGCCTATTCATTAATAACCACATAATTCAAAACCATCCAAAATTATATATCCATAATATTTTGTTATTGATTTTATGTATATGGTACTTCTAAGGTCCAATATAGATAATTTTAAATTAATGTTTTAAAAATGTTGAAGTTCAAATTAATCTTGTTCCACTGCTTCGTGACTAGATCTTCTTATTCTCTTAACATTTTGTAAAACACACAATTATACTAATCAACTTATTTTCTTTTTACTGTTTTAGAAAACATCCATAGAGTGTGTAAACCAGGGAACAAGTAGTCAGCGATATCTGCCTCTAGCAGTGGCGCCAACCCGTACAGAACCTATACCCAACCAAGACATGAGCACGTTGACATACCCCCAGTACCTGGCGACAGTGAGGGCACAGGTCATGTACGCCAAGGAGATACACGACATGTTGCTCGCTGCTGCACAGAATATAACGGCTACCGAATAGCATTATTTTACTGATTAAAATTTTTCAATGTGTATATCAAGTGTTGAAGATTTTGTAACAGCAGGCTTACCTGAATGATAAAATAGTCCACTCAGGCACAAGAAACACAACAAATATTCCACTGTACACAAAAAATTGTAATTTCTCCAACTCTGAAGTGAACACTTTCCGCATCTGTATCCAAGCCTTTAAACTAAAACCTTCATTGGTTAAACGTTCTGTTAGTGATGGTGAGATAAAATTTTTGTATAGTATAAATTTTTGTGTGAGTCTTACATCAAAGTGGATGTCTTATATGCCAAAGTGGATGACTTATTCCCCATTCAAATAAGCCTACACCGAACAATAATCCTTGAAATTATGGCCCTTGTGATCTTAGGTTACATCTTTACATTTTTTTTGTGAAAAATAAAGTCAATTATTTATTTAGGCTATAGCTAAATTGATTTTTTCCCTAAGTAAACTAGTAATAATAATTAATAGAGGTCGTCCAGTGGTTGTTAATTTTTTTGTAATTTCAAATTAATTTGTTGTGCTTATTTTTATGCCTATTCAAAATTCTAAAAGGATTCTGCATATCTACAGGAAAATATCTTTCTAACTGTATGCTTAGATTTTCCCTGTGATGGACACGAGCTGAGAAAAAAATGGTTTAAAAGAAACATGATTGCCTATTAATATAGGGTGAGTTTTAATTGCCCCCCCCCCAACTTTTTCTTAAATTTTTTTTAATATCAATCCCAGGCCACTTCCAAACATTGTTAGGTAGTAAGTACTTTATTTTGACAAGGTGGTCATTTCCGGTCTCCATATTGGATATTTAATATAAAACTATATTATTATTTATTACTTACTGCTGTATTAATTTTTTTTCAAGTGTAAAGGTGGGGTTGTGACCCATTATTTTGAGTTTGAGTTCTACCCTGATTATAATGCCAGAAGCCGTTTTTAAAAGTTTTGATCAATTCCAAAGATATGAGGCTTTTTATAACTTTTTAGCCAATTCTGCATTTAAAAACTAACCCAAAATCAATTGATCCATATACAGGGTTAGGCAAAAGTCTGGAACCCCCCAGTTAACTTTTTAACGCATTGCAGTAGGATAACCAAACTCGGCACATATTTACAACATAAGAAATTGCACTTTTTCATCAAAGTGACAACTTTGCCCTAGCCCCCAAAATGGGGTATGTTGGGGGCAGCTCCAAATTTTCGAATGTAAACACCTATCAACACCTCTCATTTTAAAGGGTTTATCAAGAGAAATTGAATGGCACAATCCAGAGGTCAATATCGCACCCCTAATCAAAATGGCAGCCATTTTAATTTCAGATGAGTAAGCAAGATAAAGTCTGGACACCCCCAGTTAACTTTATAACGTGTGGCAGTGGGAAATCTGAACTCGGCACATGTTTACAACATAAAAAAAATCACTTTTTCATTAAAATTAGAACTTGTACATGGCCCCCAAAATGGGGTATTTTGGGGGCAGCCCCAAATTTTCAAAGCAAAACCCTATCATGTGACCCCTAATTTTAAAGGATTTCTCAAGACAAATTAAATGGCGCAAACTAAAGGTCAATATCACACCCCTAATCAAAATGGCAGTCATTTTGAAGTATCCCCTATTATCTTTTTAACAGGTTATAGGAGGAAAACTAAACGCAACATACCTTAATATAAAAAGAGAATTCACCTTTTGGTCAGTATTAAAATGTTAAATTTTTAAAGTTAACTGGGGGTTTCCAGACTTTATCTTGCTTGCTCATCTTAAATAACTAAAATGGCTGCCATTTTGATTAGGGGTGATATATTGACCTCTGATTTGCACCATTCAATTTCTCTTGATAAACCCTGTAAAATGAGGGGTCGTATGATAGGTGTTTACATTTGAAAATTTGGGGCTGCCCCCGTAATACCCCATTTTGGGGGCTGGGTCAAAGTTGTAACTTTGATGAAAAAGTGAAATTTCTTGTGTTGTAAATATGTGCCGAGTATGGTTTTCCTACTGCAACGCGTTAAAAAGTTAACTGGGGGGTTCCAGGTTCCAGACTTTTGCCTAACCCTGTATAAATCCCAAAGTACCCATGAACTTTTGAGAGGACGATAAACAAGACACACCCCCATAAACCATATACTTGAAATGGTAATCATGACGAGAAACCTTGCGCAAAACTATCCATTATTTCATAAATTGCCCTTTTAGGTCGTTATTCCTTTCAAACTTTACTCTTAGGGTCTGTATACAATTAACAGCTCACTAAGCTTTTGGTATATTTGGTCTTTCTAGAAAAAAATAAAAAAAAACTCAAGAAAATTGAAAAAGGCAATAAAATCTTCTAAAGTTTGTATAAATCCGAAAAAAAACCTAACCTGAGACCCAAAAATCTTAATGTTTTTTATAGAGGTGTGCTTCTTTTATGTACCTATAGCCTAAAACATTGAAATATGATATTTTAATTTTTGAAATTTATATGATAGAAATCATAAAAGTGAATCATGAATTGTCTGGAATAATCTAAATCCTTCTAAACAATCCTTCAATTATACCGTTAGTTATGATAAAAAAATGTGTTTCAATTGAACTAAACTGTCAAATTTACAATGATATTTAAGTTATTGTCAAGACCAAACACAGTATAATCCATAAGGCTGGATTGGTCGTGAAAAAAACCCGCGATGGTCGTGAAACTTTGGTCGTGACATTGCGTGTTATTTGGCTCTGGCTTAGCCCTGCACCTCATGCTCGAGGATACAAAGTGGACTTCTAGATTAATCTAGCAATTGAAATATCTTATAAACAAAAATAACACCATGTCTACTTCATCAAATGACTACGTACGGTCATGGACACACCAAAATTACAAAAAACACAAACTTGCCTTTAACCTTGTAACTCCTCATTTCAACTCGAAACGACTGGCACTACAATCCTGTCCTGACGTACACCCCGAACTAGTCTCTAAAACCAACTGACTCCATCGACGCCAGGCTTGCCACTGTCGTGCTCCAAAGTTGCAAATTTTTCCCTAATGATGTTGACATCAAACCGAGGGACAGACCTATTTAGTCATGGTAGTCAGTTTACAATGAAAATAAAATTATTATATGCTCCCTTTTCGTAAGTTTAATAACGATTGATGTAATTAAAATATGACATATATTTCGGAATGAATAATTATTCTAAAAACAGAATAAAAGTTGCAAAATGTACCCTAGGGACACGTGACGGTCGTGAGTTTCGAGACTTTAAAAATACGAAAAAAAATACCTAGAACCTATTTAAAGCAAAATAATTGTGTGTAACATGTTGCCCCCGCCCCAAAAAGTATTAAAATAAATAATGAAAAACTATATATTCAGTATCTACGAAGTAAAAGGCCAGGGACATAAAAACGTACGCTTCAAAATTTTCACTCTTGTAACAAATTTCTTTAAAATCAGATAATTTTTACTAGAGTTAGCATGCTAATAATGGTCACACAAACATGCATATTATGTGAATTGTTAATGCTGATTTTGGACTCTATGGAGACATCAAAACGAATAAGAAAATCGGTCCCGGGCCCAGGTCTTACCATATGACCCACTGTAATAGCTTATTCATGTCAAATTCACTACAAGAACAACTCTAAAATAAGGATCGAGAAACAATTTTGCTGGCATTATTACAAGTACTAAACCTAAACCTCTCCATAACATTAATTAAATTGGCTGGGTAGCTGAGTGATAATAGTGCTCGCTCGCCTAGTAATCGAAAGGTTGCCGGTTCGATCCTGAGAAAAGTCAGTAGCTTTTTGATGGTTCGAAACTGGACCCAGCTGTTCCTGTTCATTGGGCTTTAAATAAATGATCCTGACTAATGAAACCGCTGATCTTAGTCAGTAACAAAGCTACACAGGTCATCACACACCATTCTACACTGATCCTTCACTCATATTTGGGTTAAAATACGCACCTAGGTGGCGTATCCATCTCAATGATCTATAAGTATAAAAGAGGATGTTTGTATATATATACTAGCTGTACCCACGGGCTTTGCCCCGTTTAACTTCATAAGTAAGCTCGTTCGCATCGCTCAATTAGGTCCTGGTTGAAGTTCGTTCGCTACGCTCACTCACTTTTAGGTTGGGGCTCGTTCGCTGCGCTCACTTGCCTTCAGGTTAGCTCGTTCGCTACGCTAACTCGCCTCCAGGTTGAAGTTTGTTCGCTACGCTCACTCAACTTTTGGTTACAAATTAGCTGTTGTCATAAATGTAAAAGAAATAATAGTGCTGCACCCTGTTGGTAATCCTTGTAACCTTAATGCTATTGAACATCATAGAACAGAACCAACTTGTTTAATTGAAACAGCTGTTTAGATTAATTAATTCCATTTAAATATGAGTACTCATAAGGTTAACATGGGAAACTCCAGAGCCACTGGGGCGGAGCCCGAGAGTCCGATCAGAATCAAAACAGCTTAGTTTTCCTATTTAATGCCTAAAGAATCAGTGTATCAAATTTCAGCCACCTAGGTAAATGGGAAGTAAGAGAATTAGTGATGAGTGAGTGAGTCAGTGAGGGCTTTGCCTTTTATATATATATTTGGCAGTGATAAACTCAGACACCGCTGAACCGATTGCCACGAAACTTGGTACATACGTGTAGAATTTCATGGAATAGGTTGATACACCATCAATTTCGTGATCCGTCCAATCGGCTCCGCCCCAGTGGCTCTGGAGTTTCCCATGTTAACCTTATGAGAAATGGAATTAATGAATCTTAACAGCTGTTTCAATTAAACAAGTTGGTTCTGTTCTATGATGTTCAATAGCATTAAAGTTACAAGGATTACCAACAGGGTGCAGTACTATTATTTCTTTTACATTTATGACAACAGCTAATTTGCAACCAAAAGGTGAGTGAGCATAGCGAACGAGCTTCAACCTGGAGGCGAGTTAGCGTAGTGAATGAGCTAACCTGAAGGCAAGTGAGCGTAGCGAACGAGCTAACCTGAAGGCAAGTGAGCGCAGCGAACGAGCTCCAACCCAAAGGTGAGTGAGTGTAGCGAACGGACTTCAACCAGGACGGATTGAGCCATGCGAACGAGATCATCTTGAAAATTAAGAAGTTAAACGGGGCAAAGCCCGCGGGTTACAGCTAGATGATAATAAAAATAAAAAAAACCACACACATAAAAACGCTTCAGATCATATATTAAACCATTGGCCATATTTATCACGGCCGCTTTTAACTCCAGGCCGCGGCCTTCGATGTGGCAACGTCGCAAGTGGTGTTGTAACAGCTGTTTTGTTTGTAACCAGCTAATGGTATTTGTGTACGAAAGATTGGTTACTGGATTATGACAATATTGACTCCGCTTATAATGTACAGATATAAATTTTTTATTCATATTGTTTCGGTTTTCAATTCTCTATGTTTTATTTTCAATATTTTAATAAATTTATGTTCATAATATAGTGCGAATTAATGAACTGATGTCACCTGTCTGCCATGTTATCTTATGGGACGTCTGACACTAAACAACACCACTTGCAACGTTGCCAAATCTACCAGGCCGCGGCCTGTAGTTAAAGGTGGTCGTGTATTTATTCATGATTTGTATATAGTCAATGATTAAACATACTCCCTTCAGATTTTACAATGGAATGAGAAATCTATAAAAAAGATTGTACGGCTTCGTAATCTCTACTTTAATCTATGCTTACAAGACTCACAGATCTTCTTACATGTTTTTGGCATAATGTAACTAGCAGCGTACTCTTATTTTTATGTACTCTAAAGCACATGATATAAAATTAAAAAAACTGTATCCCAACCTTTCCTCTACAATCAACATCGTCCGTCAAGCCGTACCGTACAATTACCGCACGCTGTGAAATACAATTCATTTTCGGAAATTCTTATTTAGTTTGTAACTTATTAGTTCAGTAGAAATGGCTTTACACGTTCCTAAAGCACCGGGATTTTCCCAAATGTTGAAGGATGGAGCAAGGGTAATTAAAAATCTAAGCTATATGAAAATTCCTAACCTAACTTTTAGCTGTAAGGCACAATACCAGGCTAGTTTTTAGGGGTTGTTTTACAGTTAATAAGCCTTATAGATACCAGGCCGTATTACATATATTTCAATTTCACATTTCAGACTACGTCTTAGCTTCGATAACTTATATTCGTCTTACATTGAATTAGTTAATAGCTAAGTAAGTTACAGATGGTCTTAGGATGTCCTGTCACTTTTTCTAGGTAGTTTACGATTCTAGGAATAATGTTTATGCTATGTTTAATCCAATATCCAAAATAGCTTTTTATATAGCATGTTCCAGTCATTAAGTTGGTCAAGGCTGTAGCAGAATTGTTTATCTTAAAACTTAGGCTTTTTCGAAATTAGGCATTTAATTCATTGCTTCTAAGATCCCTTTTCTCAGGCATTGTGAATAATGTTTTTGCAATTGTCAATTTTATTGCAGAATATAAATGGTATACAGGGCCTAGCTAAAGAAAAAATCCCAAACCATGGGAAAAAAGTTTCATAAGTGTCCCGCAGAACAATCTAATAAATAACTTATAGAAACTATCATTTATATATCAATTATTTAATTTGATATATCACGTTTGGTTAGTTAGGTTAACCTAACCTAACTAACCGGATGAAATAATCGGTACTGTATATCGATATATTCATTCAATTGTTCTGCGGGACACTTATGAAATTGCAGCCCTAGCACTAAACTTATTTTAGTAAGACCCAGTTGTTACTTGGAACGGACTCAACTTTTTCCAAGAATCCTTTGAAAAATAGGCGACTTGTTTTTTTTCTTAGCTAATAACTCAAAAATGGCTGAATTGTTTTAACAATTTTAATTTGCATTCAAATAAGTCTCCTACATTGGGCAGTGCAATCTTGAACCTCTCCTGTGGTCGTGCCCCACTGTTCTGGATACACAAAAAACATCAAATAAACAGTATCAGCAATCTGACACATACTTTCTCCCATAAGCTTGTCAACAACCTTTATCATGGGTAAGAAATGAGTGTAAGTAACTACGATATTTAATAGGCCTAGGTAAAATCACAAAAGTTTTAGACCGGAATTTTTTTTATAGGAATGTGGATTGTAGTATTTGGTTTAGAATTATAAGGACCATTACAGACAAATTTCAATGGAATTGTTTTTTTAAATAATTTTTTCTGTTTTTTCATGTGTTTTTATGGGATAAATAACATAAGTTACAACAATAACTTTTGAACCGTAATTTTTACAGGAATGGTTGGACTACGTTGTTAAGAATTATAAGGAATAAAGGATTATTTCATATGCTACTGTACTAATTTCAATCAAAACCGGATTTTTTAGAAAATAGGATTTTCTCTTATTTTTGATGGGTTTTTATGGGAAATTAGGCTAACATTTACAATAACTTTCGAACTTTAATTTTAACATAAATGGGAGTTATACCATTTATTTTTCTTCAGAACTATAAGGGCTACAACATACTACATTTTTATCAAAATCAAGCGGGCCAATTTTAAGAAAATCTTTTTCCCTTTATTTTATGGGTTTTTATAAGAAAATCAACATTAAAAATCTAAATAAAAAAAATATAAAAAACTCCTGGAGATACCATGGATTAGTACCTACATGTACCAAATTTAATCAAAATCGGACCACAGGTGTAGTCTGTAGCTCTGTACACATTCACACATACAGACATCACTTCGATAACAACTTTTTTCTATCCACTCAAAACTCAAACTCAAAAATTTTGACAAAAACAATAGGCCTAGGTACTTTCTCCATATACTACGGCATAGGGGGAGAAAGTAAAAAATGGAGGGGTTTGAACAGTTTTCTCTAAATTATTTCTGATCATTTCATTCAAATGCATCTGACGTTTAAACACTAACAATACAAATTAAATAGGCTAAGGAAGAACACAAATGAAACCTATTGTCTCCCAGATTAGTCTTGACATTGTAAAAACTTACATGTAGGCCTAGGTTTATTTCAAAATATTAGCCTAATACTATTAGCCTAATTAATGTGTTAAAAACTAAAACTTGTTATGATTGTCCACAGCATTTTTCGGGTCTTGAAGAAGCAGTGTATAGAAACATCAGTGCCTGTAAACAGTTTGCTGAGACGGTACGCACAGCCTATGGACCTAATGGAATGAATAAAATAATCATCAACCACATTGAAAAATTGTTTATTACGAATGATGCTGCCACCATCATCAAGGAGTTGGAGGTAATTGATAATGCTATCGGAGGTAGGCCTAATTGAGCCTTAGACAGCAAAGGGCCAATTGTGCTTTCAATTTTAGTGTGTGTTCAAAGCCCCAGTTAATCTAGAACCATCAAGAAGCCTACCTCCTTAGTAGTTTTTCACAAGATTTCAGTTATTAAATGAATTACTGTACCAGTAGTTACAAAATCAGTCTTTATTTAGGCCTTAATATACTTTAGGTAGCCCACAGTGTTGCGTCAAATTGAATTTTATTTTTATAAAAAAAAAACAGCAAAGATAGTTTAATAGCCTACTATTTAATTTTTGTTTTGTTATCAATTGGCTTGCCGTTTTTCCAATCTTTTTCTAAATCGGCTTTACTTCCCCTTTATTGAAAATTACAATACAAATCTTTATTTCAATACTATAAGCCCAAATTTACCAAGCACTAGCTCAGTAGTAGCGTCCTGGCCTTTGATTCAACTTGGCAGCATGCATTGTCTTATTGCTGCAGTAATGACTAACTTGCCTAGATGTGATATTCTACTACTTTTTTGCCTGTTAGTCTTTGGTGATGGGAAGAATTTGTCCCAGAACATTATTGCAAATAGTGAAACTTTTAAACTCTAGTAAGCTTAAAATTGCAAGACAATAATTTTTTTACTCTGATAAGTTGTGTGAGGCCGTTTGTTCATAGCCTATGACTAGCATTTTTCATAATACATCAATTTTGTAGGTTGAGCATCCTGCTGCAAAGTTGATGATTATGGCGTCAGAGATGCAAGAAAAGGAAATCGGTGATGGAACAAACTTTGTCATAATCTTCTCTGGAGCCTTGTTAGAAGCAGCAGAAGATTTGCTGAGAATGGTAAGTTTAAGTTTTATTTAACAAGAAAACAAAGAAAGTCCTACATCTAGCCTACCTACATATTTATGATAGACCAAACTAACGTACCGCGCTGCAGCATGCTGTATAAGGTCGACCTCTGGATAATACGAAAGTACGAAAGATAACCCTTAAATCCTTCAACCCAAATATCCCTACTGAAAGTTATTCTGAGTTCAAGTAGGCTATTGTTATAGCCTACCTGTGTCAACAGAATAAACCTTTTTATTCTAAAATTTACTATTGATAATTTTTTCTACAAAATAAACACATCCTACCTTTAAGGTAGCTGCTATCATGACTTTAAATACAGAACCCCAAATTAGACATTTTAATTAACTCTATTAAGGTGCTGTGTTGGATTTTAACTAGCTTGCTTGGCCATGTTGAGGGTTTTGCTCATTCAAATTCAAATATATTTATTCAAGATGTTACAGTGGCTTGGCTTTTGTCTTTGAGGTCCGATTAGTTTGATTCTAAGTTGGATTATAGTTCAGCCCTTGTATTAAGAACGAGTACAAATATTTAAAAAGGAGGAGGATTGTCTATCGAATTTTATATCGAAGCAGCTCACACACCTTCATAAAAATTCATCTAATTTGTTTTCTGGGGATTGTAAAAATTCAGAACATTTTATAGTGCACTTTGAATTTTTGTGTGAAAAATTGTAAACCATATTTCATACATATTAAATTGATTGTTATAGCAATAGGTTTCTCTAGTAATATTTTCAATTCAAGGGTCTTACTCCCACTGAGATTGTTGAGGGATATGAAAAAGCTTTGGAAAAAGCCCTTGAAATCCTTCCCAGTCTAGTGTGCCATGAGATCAAAGACGTCAGGAACGAAGCTGAAGTGAAGAAAGGAATTAAAACCACTATCATGAGCAAGCAGTACGGATTTGAAGACTTTTTGACAGACATCATCACTAAAGCTTGTGGTAAGTGTTGGTAGATAATCTGTCCTAAACCCAATAAAAATCAAGCAAATATTGTAACCGTTCTATTTAGTGCTCGATTTGTAAAAAAGAGGGGCCGAAACTTTAGCCTAATATTTAATTTGATTTGTATGTATTTATGCCAATATTTTTTTCTTTCCGAAAGAGAGGTACTGGAACTCCATTCTGCCGCGTTCTCCCGCATACCGAGCACTAGTTTTATTTGTATTGAGGCTGTTAGGTTCACATTTGTATATAGTATGAGAAGCTTCAGGAAATGTGCGTGATTTAGTGGTGATTAGAGGAAGATATATTGGGCCCAGGTATTTTAATTATTCGCCACACTCTTAACTATATCCATGATAAAGTTGAAAGCGGAACTTCCAAAGTTTTTACATTTGAACAATTCATCATTTTGTTTGTTAATTATTGTTTATATTAATTGTGGATCACACATAATTTTTTTTAACAAGATGTACTTGACACTATAGCTAAAAATTATATACCTAGGAATTGTAGGCCTATAGGAAGAATATATTTTGTCAAACAAGAATACTTTGTAAACAGACATGTTTTAGCTTTTCGTGTACTGTGAACTTTTATATAGGTACAGATCCATGCTGATAGATATTTTCTGTTTCAGTCTCAATCCTTCCTGATTCATCGTCCTTCAATGTCGATAATGTCAGAGTTTGCAAGATTTTGGTAAGCCAACATGTCAAGTCATTACTACAGTAAAATCTCACTAACTCGACAGTTTGTGAACCCAGAGGTTATCGAGTTTGGGGGCTGTCGAGAAATCCAGAACGTTGAAATTGTTAATGGGTTTTAATAAATGAGAACATAACAGGCTAATTTTAACACATAAATTGATTACTTACATGTATCTATTGAGTAAACAATCTTCAAATAAATGTTGAATATTCTATCATAAAAAAAAACTAAATGTTTGAATAAAATTGTTTTTTTTTTGTGGGCACTCTGTCAGCTGTTATCTGTCAAGTTACCAGGTGTAGAGTTAGTGAGGTTTTATGGTTTTTAATTTTTAGTTCACATACATCACAATACAACCACGAAAAAAGTTATGATCACTTTTCTATTTTCTAGTATCCAAAATTGGAATGGATTTACTAATGAATCTTAAGTTTTTATTCTCTTGATGCAGTAGTTATTTGCATCTATCTATATATTAATAGGCAAGCATGTTTCTTTAAAACCTTTTTTCTCAGCTCGTGTGCATCGTAGGGAAAATCTACGCATACCGTTGAAAGGTATTTTCCTGTAGGTGTGCAGAATCCCTTTATAAATTTAAATAGGCTCAAAGATAAGCGCAAAAAATGAGTTTAAAAATTTGAACAAAATTACATGGATCTTATGCGTTGCCATGCTGGTGACGAAATAACAACGAAATATAAACAGAAAATCAAAACAAATGGAAGAAACTCCAATCACATGTTTTATTTACACTGTGGGGTGAAACATTAACATAAGTGAGTACATTACATATTTTTGGCCGAGTTTCGACCACTGGACATTACTCGTATTAAATTAATGCTAGGATATTTTGAGTCTTAAAAAATTAGTCGCTTTGGCTCCAGTCCAGTCATACCATTTAATTATGTCCCTTAATGTCCATAAAATTTTAATCTCGTCACATCAAAATTGAAACCAAAGATCTTAAAAATATGTTTGGTTTCAATTATTTTTGTATATACTGTTAACACTCTAGTTTTATACTTTAAATATCGTGTACAAGAGTTGTTACAGAAAGCTGGTGTACATCCCTTATTAAACACACATTTTTCTTTTTTTAACTCATTGATTGTACAAGCTGCATATTACCTTGTTTCAGGGCTCAGGTCTCTTCAACTCCCAGGTTGTTCAGGGGATGGTGTTCAAACGCCATGTTGAAGGTGATATCACCAAGATGACCAAAGCTAAGATTGCTGTTTACACTTGCGCTGTTGACATCACGCAGACAGAAACCAAGGTAGATTGTTTACTAACCATAAAAACCTTGTTTAATGTAGGCCTACAGTCTCAATTAGTGCTTCACAATCTATAACTTTTACTTGTGTATTTATTACCAAAGTATCCATTAATACACTGTATCCATTAATATCCATTTAGTAGCTGTATAAAAGTAAAATTTAAAAATATAGTGTCGCTTAGAATTAAGTGACTTTCCTTGTCTTAGAAGACACTTCTATTTGATAGTTTTCTAGCAATAATTTATCAGGGTGTTTACCAGTCATGGAAATCACGGGCAATGTCACTAAAATTAACAGATTCTCATTTTAAGGAAATTGACAGGAAAGCAGGCTTACCTTTGTTCATGGAAAAATCGAAAAAGTCCCTTATTTATTTATACAGGGTGATTGATATAAGTGTGCCAGCCGTTTTATTCGAAAACTATAAGAGATATCAAAAAAAGTTAAATGATAAGTGCCTTGGATTTTTTATTTAAAAAATTGTAGTCAAGTCAAAAAAATTGTTTTAGCCGCCATTTTTCCAATATGGCCGCCAACTCTGATTTTTCTTACGGAACACCCTGTATTTTATGATGTATTCTGGTAGAAAAAGTAATTTTAAGACGATTTTATTCTTGTGATTTTTTTCATAAACCTAACCGTTTTAAAGATAATAATGGTTAAAGTTTTGAAATTTCTGCATGAGAAAGAGTTTCGATAAAGGCCTAATAGCAAGCATGCCAGCTGTTTTGCTCGAAAACCATTCAAAATTTCACAACTTAAACCATTATTATCTTTGAAACGGTTAGGTTTATGAAAAAAATCACAAGAATAAAATTGTCTTAAAATTACTTTTTCTACCAGAATACATCATAAAATACAGGGTGTTCCATAAGAAAAATCAAAGTTGGCGGCCATATTGGAAAAATGGCGGCTAAAATAATGTTTTTGACTTGACTATAATTTTTTTAATTTAAAAATTTAAGGCACTTACCATTTAACTTTTTTTGATATCTCTTATAGTTTTCGAATAAAACGGCTGGCACACTTATATCAATCACCCTGTATAGAAACTGGTAGTAGACTAGACATCCTTATGATAAAAATCTAATACATAGGCCTACACATGGATTATTGGTTTCTTTTCTTTGTTTTGTGTAAATCTGCACCATTGTTTTTGTTCTTTTTTGTAAGGGAACTGCCTTAACCCTGTTCTTCTAACAATCCAACTACAACCTTGTGTTATATAACATCATTGGTCATTGATGATTTCAATGACAAATGTCATCTGGGTCCACTATCAGTCTCACTCCGATTTGAAACAAGTATTTTAACCAGACTGTAAAACTAACAGATTTAAAGTATTATTTAATTTAGTTTGAGAAGAAAAATGAAAAATCTTTATTATTCATGAGGATGGTTGATAGTTATTTTATTTTAATTTTACTTCAAGGGCACAGTTCTGATCAAAACCGCCGAGGAGTTGGTTAACTTCAGTAGAGGCGAGGAGACCCTGTTGGAAGATCAAATCAAAGCCATCGCAGACGCTGGTGCAACCGTCATTGTGGCCGGTGCCAAGTTTGGTGACATGGCGCTCCACTACGTCAACAAGTACGGTATGATGGCTGTACGACTCAACAGCAAGTTCGACCTGCGCCGTCTTTGTCAGACTGTCAATGCCACAGCTTTGCCACGATTGGTGAGTATCACCAGAGGAGAGAGAGAACTAGTCGTTTAAGATACTTAACTTACCAATATTTGAGCTGGTAGGAAGGCCAAAACGTGTCTTTTATCTCAACTTTCAATACACTTTAAAAAATGAAATTTTAACTGTTTCAACATTTTAAAGTTAAATAACTCCAGTTGAGCAAAATCCTAGATTCTGTCCTAATCTTCATCATGATAAATCACTGTTCTGTTAAACCACACCTATATCTAAGTGTAGGTAGTTGTTGAATGATATGTGGAATAAGCCTACTTGTTCATTGAGACCTAACCTCATTATACAATCAACATGGTTTTGATACTATTTTTATTACTCTTGATGTCAGGTTGTTACATATTAGCAGTTTTAATTAATAGCTTTTGTGAACTTCCATGTATTTAAAATGGCAGTTTCCGCATAGCAAGACTGTTACCCATAAGGCCTGTGCTACACAGTGCATCTAGAATTGATATAGGGTCAGATAATCTTAAATTAACAAAAACAACAATAATTCAACTGATTGTGATCCCCTGACAGACACCCCCTAACAAGGAGGAGCTGGGCTACTGTGACACAGTGTTTGTAGATGAGTTGGGAGATACATCTGTAGTCATCTTCAGTCAAGAGGCCAAGGAGAGTCGAATAGCCACCATCGTGATCCGAGGATCTACGGATAACTACATGGATGACATCGAGAGAGCCGTGGACGATGGGGTCAACACTTTCAAGGCTCTTACCAAGGTATGTGGATCAAATGTTTATCTCTCCTGGTTAATGGGAAACTGTGTTAATCCAGGCTGATTGAGGATCCAATTTGTTTAAACTCAAGAACGTAATATGAAATGCAGTGGTATTACAACAAAAATTGAGTCCTACTTGTATACAATGTGATAAAAGTATGAGTATTGTATTCTGAATTTTAAAAACCGTAACCTGCTGAAGCACTGAAACTGTGCGACAAAACTGCATAATCTTTTACCGTAGCACATTCTTAACTAAGATTTATGAAATGTTAACGTTAAACTATGTGAAATGTTAATGTTAAGGTTGGTGGTGAGAATCGGTCAAAACAATCAACTTATTATTATTCAATCTGTTTGACTCACTGTTTAAAGAGAGATTGACATTTTTTCTGATTTGTTTTCATACCTTTCATGTACCTTGCCACAGAGAAGTAAAGAACAGAGGATACACTCCAAGTTACACTTATGTGGTGTCTAGCACTTTTTCTGGTGTCTAGGGTAAAGTTTCCACCCCATCATACCAGAGCTGAAAGCCTGTAGTTGTTCCATAAGCATGTTTCATTTGTACCTTACATTACTGTGAACTTGCTTAGTATATTGGTTGTAGAACTACTTGGATCAACATTATGTACTATTTGCAGGATGGCAGACTAGTGCCGGGTGCAGGAGCTGTGGAGATAGAGCTCGCTCGTCAAGTGTCATCGTATGGTGAGACGCTGCCTGGCCTGGACCAGTACGCTGTCACCAAGTTTGCCACCGCTCTGGAGAGTTTTGTCAAGACTCTGGCCGACAACACCGGTGTCAGATCCAACGAGGTTGTGTCCAAACTGTATGCTGCTCATCAGGAGGGAAAAATCAACTACGGGTTTGACATCACGGTTAGTTACCAGTTATTACCAAGATATTCAACAGATTGTTGCAGATATTTTACATTTACATCACAATTAAATATATTTAGCATTCTTGGGTTTTTTTTCTGAGGAATGGTCTAAACCATGGTCTTGTTACTATCTACGTTAGACTCAGTCTAATCCGGGCTCATCAGGACCGAGGTCAGTCCGGATAGCAGTTTTTCTAGTTAAAACTGTTTCAATTAAAAAACTAACCCAAATAGTTAAGTTAACTTAAGTTTGGGAGAGCATTGTAATTAGACACGGGATCACTGGTATCAAATCTTTCTCATCAAGTTGTTTCAGTACCACCCATTTCCTGCCCATCCAGTCTGGTTAAACTGATGTGCTGATAAAAATGTTCCGATTAAAGAGATGCCACTTTTTAAGCTTAGTGTAGTCCGGTTAAACCAATGTCCGGTTGAAAGGTGTGTGGATAGGAGTCTACTGTAATGTCAACCTTTTCGTAAATGGTTTTATTAATGGATTGTCCAATGGAAAAATGGCATCTGGGTCCAGAAATGATATTGCTTGGAAACAAACCAGTGCCTTTTAGATTTGATGGTGAGTATTAACTTGTAACTAAATCAGTACAAAACCCAGCCAAAGCTCAATCACAAACAAAAACCCACACAGAGACGTATGGCCAAAACAAGAAACTTAAAATAACCTACCCGTGATTTTCAAGCTTTGGCTGGATTTTGTGTAGCCTAATCTTGTTAATGTTATGTTTAAGTTTAAGGTACAATCAAACCTGAGAACTGGGTCCAATTTCAGATCCTGAAACATTGATTCAACTTTGTAAAAACATTTTTATGAAAATATCCGCAACAATTCCTTAATTAGCATAATCTTACCATTATCAGGTAAGCAGTGGCAATTGTTATAAAAAGACTAATGAATCGATATCTGAACCTGTCAGTTACGCACAGCTGGATAATAGATTTCACTGTATTTGAGTCTGTTATACTGAACTCCAGCCGTGTTTGTCCAGGATGACAGCGGTGCTATCCTGGATGCTGCCGAGGCTCAGATCTATGACTTGTACCTCACTGTGTTGTGGGGCCTCAAGTTTGCCACCAACGCCGCCTGTACCATACTGAAGGTGAGTTCATCATCATAGCTATGATGTGAATAGTTGTTTAACAGATGTTACCAAAGATTTACTGTAAAAATGGATTGTGAAGTCCCTACATAAGTCTTAGTGAAAAAGTAAATTATAAATACAATTATTAATTAATAAATAAACAATGGATTACTAACAAAAGCCATTGTGCAGTGACTTGCATATCTTTTTAATTTCTCTCCAGTTAACCCATTGGCGCCGACTTACGAGCGTTACTCGTCTGGCCGCTGCAGGCCCAAAATCCAACTTACGAGTCTAGCTCGTTTTTTTCTACTTAATCCAAAACTGGCTATAATTTTAATCGGAATAGGACGTACAACTGTATCCTGTACCTGTAGAGTCAAAGTTGTTACTTATCTTTACAAATTGTTTGATGTTTCAGGTGGATCAGATCATCATGGCCAAGAGAGCCGGAGGTCCACGAGCTCCACAAGGTCGTCCACAGAATGATGAAGACTAAGCGTCAACCAACGCCTTTTAATCTCTTCGCTTTTCTTTAATTTTAACTTAGTTTCGTTACAGCACCTGTGAGCTAATTTCTGCATTTTCTCGTTTACTCGATTGTAAAATAACAGTATTTATGTTAAATTTTCTAATTAAACATTCTAAAACCATTTGCTTTCTTTTATCTCCTAACTGTATTGTAAGTACTGTTAAACCGCGTACCCAGTCAACCATGAGAACCTTCAAACCATGAAACCCCTGGTAAGTCATGAACCATGCAAATATTTAATTCAATTCAAATATCTTTATTCGTTCTTCTGTACATTGTACAATAAATAATGTCAAAATAATTCAACAGGATAAAAAACAGCAAAACATGAGGGAATGGTTATAAAAAAAAACAAATACATATTACAAATCTAGTAAGATAATTTAAACTATCATAGCGACTGAGGGAGGTAGATAAATCTTCAAAAGAATTAATTTGCTTAATTTATTAAAAACTCTATCAATATTTTTTTTTTATTTGTTTGAATCTGTTTCTTACTTAACATTTTTTGGAATAAATAAAAAAAAATCTATTACCTGCATAAGATGGTTTATTTTCAAAAAAATTAGTCCTGTGTGGTTGTACATTTTCGTTCTTATTTCTTAAATTATAAGAATGGGATTTTTCTTTTGGTTCCGAATATACTTCTTGTTTTTTTGCAATTATTATTGATTCATATATACACTGCCTGTAAACAGTTAAGATTTTTTTTAGGTCCTTAAAATGTTCTTTAGCTGACTCATCATGCTGCAGCTTAAGCATGATTCTAACCACTCTTTTTTGCTCCTTTAAAATGCTATCTAGATTACATTTTTTTGTTGAGCAGTAGAGTGCTATGCCAAACGAGATATGTGAATGCACATGTGCAAAATATATATTTTTTAAAGCTTTTAAATCTCAGTGAAAAGTCTTACTTGATAAAGCATGAATTCTGGAATTAATTTTACTCAAATTTTGTGGACATGTTTATCCCAATTCAAGTGCTGATCTAGTGTTAAACCCAAAAAATTGGTACTAATTTCTTCATCAATATTTTTTAAGTTATAGCTTATTGTTATTGGCTCCTTCTGTCTACTTTGTTTTGTCTTAAAATTTATAAATTCAGTTTTTTGTAAATTCATCATCAAGTCATGGTTATTAAGACAATTCCCGATACTTTCCAATCCTACATAAGCGAACATTTCTGTTTGCTCTATTGAGTTGGATGATATGACCAGATTCGAGTCATCAGCATACAGACATAGTGTTGAATTTTTATTATATAATAAAGAATCTTTCATTCCACATAGACGAGTGCATCTGTTGCTCGAATTCGAGCAATTGCCAAGTATTGCAGGCGTTATTTAAAAACGGACAACAATCATAATTTCCGATGTCTTAAAAGAGTCGAATCAAATATAATGTCATCAATAACTCCACTCCTGTTATCGAAACTGAAAACAAACTCACTCTGAAAACGATTGCTCTACTATGAACAACTGTAATTAATACAAATTATTCGTCTGTTTAAGTAAACAAAATCCTTTCTTCATAAGAAATACATTGGGATTTTGATGACCTGTGGGGCAAATCCCGAGGACTTTTATTACAGGAATTGGTAAAAGGTCTATACAAAAACTACTTAATTTTGACACATCGTTTGTAAAAATCCGTCCATTATTAACGGAGGAGTAGTGTTTCGTAGAAATCACCTTCACGTATTAAAGGATAGCACAAAAAAAGCAGGGCCCTAATATTTGGCCTTGTGGCACTCCTAAAACTGTTGGCTTATAAGTTGAGCATGATTTAATAATTCTATTGTAATTTGTCAGGTGAGTGATTTCTAGGTATTGAGATCTTTCAGTGAGATATGACGTAAACCATTAATTGGTTTACGTCATATCTCAGACGTAAACCATAGATAGGTCCATAAAAATACCAGTTGTACATTTTCCCTTATCAACCGACTCAATTACAGATAAAAGATACAGCAGCACTCACAACTGATCTTCCATTCCGAAATCCATGCTGAATATCATCTAAAAGATTAAATCGTTCTAAAAATTTGGAAAATTGAATGTATACTGCTTTTTCATATATCTTAGAGATAGCAGGGAGCACAGATATTGGTCGGTAGTTAGATACATTTGTCAAGTTATTTTTCTTATGTAAAGGTATTATTTTAGCTTGTTTTAATTTCCTAGTAAAAATTCCAGACACAAAAGAGGAATTTATTAAGTGGCATAAAATTTTACTAATGTTCCCTTTTACAGCCTTAATTACTGTTATATGGATTTTATCATACCCACTAGAGTATTTATTTTTCAAAGAATTTATGATTTTTCCACCTCCCTATCATCAATTTGGGGTGCACAGAAGGAGCCTCCCCGAAGATTGCCATTACACGCTATGAACGACATCAAAATCGGGCGCACCCCGGGCAACGCTGACATGTCAGCGGCAAATCCTTCTACAACTGACGACTTCGAAAAATGAATCTGCCTAAACGGTCTTTTTCAAGGCCATTAGTAACGATCTCGATTAATATCGAGAGACAAAGAAGTATTACTGTCTGATATGTGCAAGACGTACGAATGCGACTTCCTCCTTGTGCAAGAAACACACCGGGGCATTTTAAAACCTAGACCCAACATAGACGGAATGAGACTGATTCTAGAGAGACCTCATGATCAATATGGTAGTGCTGTTTTTGCCAGGCCATACATTGACATCACCTCAGCTTCGCTTACTGAGAGGAACAATACTGAGATACTAACGGTCAGGACACCACAGTACAATGTCACCTCTTTGTATAAGCCTCCCGAATCTCAGTATGTATTTACAGAGCCCGATAATCTATGCTATGATGACATTAATTTCGTCTTGGGGGATTTTAATTGTCAGAGCATTGCTTGGGGATACAAAGAGACAAGTGAAAATGGGACAAAACTTGAAACCTGGGCTGAGGCAAATGACCTGCAGCTCATACACGATCCTAAGCTCCCTTGCTCCTTTAACAGCGGTAGATGGAAGAGGGGTTATAACCCTGACAACATCTTGGGAGCAGGATTGCCTCCCAGTGTGAAAAGTCTGTAGGTGATCCGATTCCCTGAACTCAACACAGACCTATAGTATGCACCGTTAGTGCTGTTGTTAAACCTGATGTTGTTCCTCTAAGGCGCAGGTTTAATTTCAAAAAGGCCAACTGGACGGGTTTTAGGGAGATCATTGACAGAGAAATCGCCAATATCCCTCCACAACCTGATATGTATGACTCCTTCGTTAAGCTTGTCCAGCAGGTCTCGGAGAAAAATGATACCTAGAGGCTGTCGAACCATTACATCGCAGGACTCTCTGAAGAGGCAAAGCCACTGCTAGAACGATACCAAGGTCTCTTTGACAATGATCCCTTTGCTGAGGACACACTTCTAGCAGGTGAAGAGCTTATGTCAGTCATTGCCGAAAATTGCAAAACTAAGTGGTGTGATCTTGTGGAGAGTTTAGATATGCAGGTGAACAGCAGACGGGCCTGGAAGTTCCTCAAGAACACAAATGGAGATGCGACAAAACCAAAAGACAACTTTACAACAGTTACTGCCGATCAAATCGTTACCAACCTTCTTTTAAATGGAAGGAAATACCAGGAGCCTGTTGTGCGTGATGTGGCAAGTGAGAATCACTTCCTGGAAGAACCATTCACCATGTCCGAGCTAACTGCAGTCATTACCAGCTTAAAGACTAATAGAGCTCCAGGTATTGACGAGATCAGAGTCGAACAACTAAAGAACCTAGGTAAAAATGCCATGCAATGGTTGTTGAGCCTCATGAACATGTGCGTAAGCCGAATGCATATACCAAAGGCATGGAGGAAAGCTCGTGTGGCTGCACTGCTCAAACCTGGGAATGATCCAAACGATCCTAAGAACTTTCGACCTGTTTCTCTCTTATGCCACACATATAAAATATTAGAACGTCTGATACTCAATCGAATCGGCGATTTTCTGGAACAAAAGATCATTCCACAACAGGCAGGCTTTCGATCAGGCAAGTCTTGTTGTGGCCAAGTTTTAAACCTGACCCAGCACATTGAGGATGGGTTTGAGAGAAAACAGATCACGGGTGTCGCTTTTGTAGATTTAACAGCTGCCTACGATACCGTAAACCATCGAAGACTCTTGGGAAAATTGTACAGTATTACCAAAGACTATCAGCTGACTTCAATGATAGGCACTTTTCTTCATAACAGGCGGTTTTTCGTGTCCCTTCAAGGCAAGAAAAGTAGTTGGAGGAATCAAAGAAATGGATTGCCTCAGGGTAGCGTCTTAGCCCCAGCTCTTTATAACATTTACACTAACGACCAACCGTGGCCAAACGCTACACGTCAGTATGTATATGGCGGTGGCGGCACAAGGTAGGAGTTTTGAAGAGGTGGAACAGAAGCTGACTATGACTCTAAATGAACTTTCCCAGTACTATGACGCAAATCACCTCAAGCTGAACCCTGCTAAGATCCAAGTTTGTGCCTTTCACCTAAACAATAGAGAAGCAGGCCGTGAGTTGAATGTGAGGTGGCAGGGAGACCGTCTTCAGCACTGTCCTACACCCAAATATCTGTGTATACTGGACCGCACACTGACATTTAAGGCGCATTGTATTGCGACAAGAGGTAAAGTCTCAGCGAGGAATAATATCATCAGGAAGCTCACCAGCAGATGCTGGGGTGCTAACCCTAATGTCCTCAGAACCTCAGCTTTAGCGCTCAGTGTGTCGGCTGCGGAGTACGCTGCAACAGTTTGGAAATAATCCCTAGATAATTAAATTTGAAAAAATGAATAATGTTTTCAAACATAGTCAGATACAATGACCTCCCTCTAATAAGAGGATCACCTTTATTACCTTTCAAACAGACATGGCATTGACCGGTCTTTGTCAAAACATTGCCGTCCTTTTTACTGGTTTTACCGGCCGTTTTCAATAACACAGTACTCCAATCAGTTGTGATCGGTCGGCCTTACAGAAAAGCTGAGGATGACATTTGCAGCACAAAACATTCCATACATGTCATAACATTTAGAAAAGGTGCATTGTCAAAATTAAATCCATACATAAAACAACTAACATAAACTTAAAATTAAACACTTAAAATCAAAATAAAGTAAAAAAATTCTAAATTAATGTTCTGTAAATATCTTTAATTAAGTAAAAAGCCTTGTCAATAAGTAAATTATTTATTGTCTCTTTAAATTTGGTTTTGTTTAATAACTTGTAGCATGGCGGAAGCACATTGTACAATCTCAGCCCAGCATACAATGGAGATGTTTTCATAGGGTCAAACGGTGTTTGGGGAGTAGCTGTCTTTTAACTAACTGCTTATTATAACCATTATTTATGTCTTCGTAGAGTTGATAAATTAAGGTTATAAGGACAAAAGTAGTTTGTACTAAATAACTTAACTTTAATAATAATTTGGCTGTGATGTCTTTGGTATTGTTGTTGATTAGTTTGAGTTAGGCTTCATTCTCAATTTTTTCTCCAACACTGGTCACTTCAATATAGTATCCGTGAATGACTAGAATTCCATAAATGTCAAGTCCTGAAACAAATGGTTAGTGTTGTATAGCCTGCAATGCATAAGTTTGTATGGCCTATGACTAGAGAATTTTACTTTACCTACAAACGATGAAAATAATTAATATTTATTTTTATTATATCATTGGCTTGTATTACCACAGTTCCAAGTAGGCCTAATAGTTTTTTTTTATTTTGCTGTTCTTATTCAGTTAATATAAAGTAATATCTTATAAATACCTCTAAAACCACTTCAATCATTAGAACATAGTAGGCCTAACTAAAAACCTTAAAACACTTTCATCGTTAGACTCTAAAGTGGCCATCATTCTCAAAAGCTCAGATTAGCTCAACATCAATGGACTCAAACCAACATACACACATCAAGCTGCAGATTTTACAATCTTGCGCTATGGGCTTGAAAGAGTTGGGCCCCTCACTCTTCATTTTGGGGGGATTTCTCTCTTCCTTGCGCCCCCCAACTAGCCTTTGAACCTCTTACACCCCTGGGAACGGACCTATTAATTAAATTGGCCCTGAATATGAATGATGATAAATCTAATGTTATAGCTAATATCAAAGGTTCTGCTAAATGAAATGATAAAATATGTGACACCAGACACCATTGAACCCAAAGACCAATTGTCAATGTTATAAATACCACTCACTTTGAGTAGTGCAAGTAGACTTCTTGCACCTGTAAAATCTGAAGCTAGTTTCCATGTGTGTTAAATGTTGGTTTGAAATCACTGATGACAGCTACAATTTCTCTCTTATTTTAGGGATTACCTTACTATTTGTGCTTTACTCTTTGGTTAAAAATATCTAAGAGGACGTAATAGTTAACATATAGATTGTTATCGTAGTTTACGCAAGCTTAAAAAGACGGTCCTTAAAGGCACAAGTAGAAAATTTAAGGTACAAGACTTGGCGCGAGTGCCTTTAAAACTTTTATGCGTGTCTTAGAGGCTAATTGTGTGAGATTCGTACACTACTTTACCTACGACCCTTTTTTAGCGAATTTCCCATATAGGGAATAAGCTATTACCGTAGTACTCATGGTAAGACCTGGACGCGGGACCGATTTTTTTTTTCGTTTCGAGGTCCCTAGAGACCAAAAACACCATCCGTTCAAATTCATATATATATATATATTTATATATTTATATATATATATATATATATATATATGTGTCCGTTAGCACGATAACTCGAGCAAAAATGATCCGATTTTGATGAAATTCGGTACAAACGTGTAAACCTACGTTTATTCGAACGAGTTCGCGATCCAGCATGATCGGACCATGGGAACGGGGGTTTACGGGGGGTTTTATGGGGTAAAAATAGGTTTTTCGCATTTTTGACCCAAAAAACATAAAATTTAGCAATTTCTTTCCAAACCATTTTGTAGAGCTTAAAAAAACAAATAATTTAGTATATTGAAGCGTTATTATGCGCCTAATGGTTACGGAGAAAATTCCAAAAAATTGTAAATTTAAAATTCCTATGTTATTCTTATGGAGAATAAGTAAACTGTTGTAGTTTGCTTGTTTATGAACATATTTTGATCAAATTTGAAAAATGTTTTTATTTCTTACTAACTATTAACATAAAAAAAAACATTTTTACCTCCCTGATGCAGCAAACCTAAGTACTTGTTAAACTAATTCTATTTAAATCGGGAATAAATGTTATATTTTTAAGTAGACATTTCAGTGTAAATCAAATGGAAATTCGCTTAGTCTGCAGGTTTGCTGTGGCGGGGGTATTTATTAATTAATAACGACTATTACTCAGAACGGCTAAAATGGGTTATGTTCTTCTTTAACCTCTCATTGCCACTGGTTATGACCAAGACTACCAACCACTCACTCATTGTATGATCAATTAATGAATAAATTAATTGGCTTTACCCTAACAGCTGATAAGCTGAGTTCAAAGCATTAATTTTACTTCTATTGGTCCAAACTTGTATTGTAAAGTAACAGCTGATAATTAAGTAAACAATATACTGTTAAGTGAATCTTTTCAATTCCAAGAACTGAATTGAGAAGGCTAGTTTAAAAAAGGGCCGTAGGTAAAATTCAATTTAAATTGTTTTAAAGTTGGTTGTCCTCTGCACAATCCGGACAGAAGTGAAGAAAATTGTTTCAAGTGATCCTAAATGCAAGAGTGTATGATGATACTTAGACTTACCCATGCAGAACAGGAATATTCCCACTTCATCAGCCAGTTTGTCGAAGTAAGCCATGAGTATGTAGAGAGGCACATCACACAGAAGTAATACAGACTTGGCTATTATCCATGACAGGAAGTAGTGTGGCCTTTCCTGGATGAAAACAAAATGAAATATGCTACAATGAAATATCAGTGTGCTCGCCTTTAAAAACAAAATGAAATTTATGATTAGGTTTTATCTCAGAGTTTCTGTAAATTGGGAATTTTCTAACAAAATTCAACACGCAAGTTGACATTTAACTCTCTTAGTACAGAAATAGGATTTAACAATACCTATACCTATATTTTTCTGACTCGTAAATAATTAAGTAGATATAAATAAACGAGGGAATCAGTGCGCAACTTGCACAGTTTAGAGTCCAAAACATGTTTCCGAGGCAAAATGAATTCAGTGAAATACTTACTTTTTCATGATTATTTTGGTTAAGAACAGTTATTAGGTGAATATCGTAATGAAATCAATAATATTAAGTTTATGTTCAACTGCTTGTTTAAATGGATGTAATCAAAAGTTGCACTGTTCTTCCAACAAGCTAATGATTCCATTTTAATTTGAATATGGTAAACGGTCAAGACAATAAATATTGATTCTCTTTGAAAATAATGTGTTTGTTTACCTTTTTAAGACATAATATCTTTAAAAAGTCTCCATTTTTTAAGTGAACTTGGAAAAATTCTCATGGATTGTTCCATTTTAGCGAATTTCCCATATAGGGAATAACCTATTACCGTAGTACTCACGGTAAGACCTGGACCCGGGACCGATTTTTTTTTTCGTTTTGAGGTCCCTAGAGGTCAAAAACACCATCCGTTCAAATTCATATATATATATATATATATATATATATTTATATATATATATATATATATATATATATATGTCCGTTAGCGCGATAACTCGAGCAAAAATGATCCGATTTTGATGAAATTTGGTACAAACGTGTAAACCTACGTTTATTCGAACGAGTTCGCGAACCAGCATGATCGGACCATGGGAACGGGGGTTTATGGGGGCTGTTATGGGGTAAAAATGGGTTTTTCCCATTTTTGACCCAAAAAACATAAAATTTTGCAATTTCTTTCGAAACTATTTTGTAGAGCTTAAAAAAACAAATAATTTAGTATATTGAAGCGTTATAATGCGCCTAATGGTTACGGAGAAAATTCCAAAAAATTGTAAATTTAAAATTCCCATGTTATTCTTATGGAGAATAAGTAAACTGTTGTAGTTTGCTTGTTTATAAACATATTTTGCCCAAATTTGGAAAATGTTTTTATTTCTTACTAACTATTAACATTTTACATAAAAAACACTTTTACCCTCCCTGTTGCAGCAAACCTAAGTATGTTTTAAACTGATTCTATTTAAATAGGGAATAAATGTGATAATTTTAAGGAGACATTTTAGTGTAAATCCATTCAGGGAAATGGAAATTCGCTTAGTCTGCAGGTTTGCTGCGGCGGGGGTATTGTTTCCATTTTTTCACCTAAAAAACATTGGCTTCACCATATGATATTTAATTATCAATCTAGAATTGTTTTACCCTTGATATGTTTTTAACATTGTTTAATTGCAGCTGACTTTTGAGTTGTTATTATTATTGTTTTTGTTTCTAGTTTTGACTCATGAAATAAGTTCAGTTCTATTTTATTAAACTAATTTACCTATCAATTTATGTATTTACTTCAAACATAAAACTGGCGACGAGGATGATTTTATGGAAAACTTAAGAGAGTAAGATAGTTTATTCAATTCCACAGTCTAATTCATTATAATGTCTGAAGATACATTACCAGCAACTCTTAATAATCCTATGTTGGTAAGTCAACCTAGATGTGAAAAATTTAACCCTAATTCATGCGACATTGATGTTTGGAATATTAAATTCAAGGCAAATTTATGTTTGGGCAATATTAAAAATGATGATATTAAAAGATGTTTATTCATTGACTGCCTGGATAGTAGGCCTACAGTTCTTAAAACATTGGTAACTATTTGCAAGCCAAAAGATATTTGTGAATTCACTTATGAACAACTTTATGAACTTTTGGTAAAGCATTTTAAGCCAGTAAAGTTTAAGTTTCTGAAAGAGTCAAATTCTTTTCACTGAAGCAAGGTGATGAATCTTTGTCCACCTTTGCAAGTAACTTAAAAGAATTAGCCAGCAGTTGTGATTTTCCTGGTGACTTTTATCAAGATGCTCTCATTACATCCTTCATAATGGGCATAAATGAAGATTCTATTAGAGCTAATTTACTTCAGAAAGATTACACAGATTTCAATACTGTACTTGAATTCGCTAGAACATTAAGTTCAGTTTTTACCACTTCAGCTAAGAAAAATCTGATTTCATTTTCCGATTATGAGAGCAATGGAGAGGTTCTAATTACAAATTCAAACTATTTATGCTATTCTTGTGGTGGTAACAATTTTAGGAAACAATGTAGATTTAGAAATGCAATATGTAATAATTGTGATACAAAAGGTCACTTGGCAAAAGTTTGCAAAATTAAAAGTACAACAGATTTTCAAAACAAAAAAAATTGGTGGACATGGAAAAGGAACGTACAACCGCCAAGTAAATTTCACTGAAAATGAAAGAGGAAGAGATATTCTAGAACCGTTATCGACTCTAACATACTTGATTGTTCACCTGGTCTTCAGTTTCATAATGTGAGTGTATTTTCTCCAATTTGGGTTTCTATCTGTATTAATAGTATTTTAATTAATATGCAACTAGATACAGGAAGTTGTGTTTCTGTTATATGTTGACGAACTTGGAAAAGATTGGGAAAATTTCCTTTGTTACATTCAAATACAAAACTGACAACTTGAGGACATTTTTATTTCGCTATCGAGCTACACCTCACACTGCAACTGGACAAACACCTGCATTTTTGTTCTTGGGTCATAATCTGCGAACTAAATTAGATTTTATCAAACCTTCACAAGAGATAAACTCAAGAGATAAACCTTCTGAAGTGCTGCGATATAATAAATCCAGAGGCTTTTCCATTGGGAGTAAAGTGTGAAATGAAATGAAATGATGTTTATTTCCCAACTAAAAAGTACAATTCATGGTATTTTACAGAATAAATTACTTAATCCTTGTCTTAAAAATAACTTACAAAATAATATATAACTATGGCACAAAGAGATAAAAAAAAAATACCTAATCAACTTATATGGAAATGTGTCTACATAGGCAGGGCCTGTGCGTAGACATGAGTTGCGGGTAATTTGTTTAGTGAATGGGAATTTTTTTTTTAAGTGATTGTTATCACGTCTGAAAATAAATGTTGTCTTGCTTGAAACTGGACAACGATATTTCTCTGAAACTAAGTAGAATCTAAAGTGCTTCTCAAAAATCAAGTTATAGGTTGATAGGTGTACATTTGTACTTTTGTTGAAGGGAAAGTAAAATGGAAAATAGGAACCATACTTAGACAGTTAGGTAGGAACACGTGGTTGATTGATTCTAATGTACACACTAAAAGACATACAAGTCAAATTCGAAAATGCTACCAAGACAATGAATCGGAAGAGGAAGACGACCCCTGCATTAAACAATTACCACAGCTACTGTCTTCTTCAGATTTCCAAGTACAAAATCCAGAAAACCATGGATCACCAGCTGTATTTCCTAGTCCTAGAGCAATCCCTGCAGTAGCTTCACAACATCCGAATGTCCCTCCTCAGCTACGATCTAGAATATCCACTGCAGAAGCTTTACCCCGCCCGAGTGTACCTCCTCCTCACCTGCGAAGATCAACAAGGACCTTCAGGCCACAGAGGAGGTTAATTGAAGAAGCCTAAACTTGGTGGAAAAAAGTGATATGTTTGTAACATTGTTTAATTGCAGCTGACTTTTAAGTTGTTATTATTATTGTTTTTGTTTCTAGTTTTGACTCATGAAATAAGTTCAGTTCTATTTTATTAAACTAATTTACCTATCAATTTATGTATTTACTTCAAACATAAAAACCCTCAATTTTGATTCCTTCTTGGTTAAAAAGTCTTGATGTAAACTTTGAACATCATCTATGATGTTGCGAAGACTTGAATTTTGTAATGAAGAAAAAATAAGTCAAATTAAGATTAAAATGCAAAATTAATCATGTATTAGATATCTAACAAAAAACCACTAAGTGGTAAAACTTTCCCCGCCAAGTCAGCAATCCAAAAAAAGATAATAAATCATTACTTTTTCCGCCAAGAAAAATAATGTAATGTATGTAAGTTTGGAAACTTGGCGGCAGACTTTTGATTGGTTTTTTTTCATTTAAGTTACGTTAGTGGATAATTTCACAAATCAACTTCTCTAATTAATTAGTCCAACTAAGTATAATAATTTCGAGGTAATCAGTAAATACAAAACCATCACTATTATGATTTTATGAACAAATAAGGTCAAATTTTGTAAAATAAGCTCTCACCTAGCAATGTACTAATGGGAGAGATACTTACTCAATGAAACTAGTTTTATGGTACCTATTTTTAAAGTGATCGAGCAAAAGTCTGCCGCCAAGTTGCCAAACTTACATACATTACATTGTTTTTCTTGGCGGAAAAAGTAATAATTTATTATCTTTTTTGGATTGCTGACTTGGCGGGGAAAGTTTTACCACTTAGTGGTTTTTTGTTAGATTTTATTAATTTTTGTAGAAAATTAACAGTTAAAAATCCTCTTTTCTCTGATAAGTAAAAATGTAATTGCTTGTTTAACATACGTAAACTGATTTTCCCGATTGTTTTATTTGTTTTAGTGTATCAAAACATAAAACAAACCTTAGTACTAGTACTAAGTTTCAAGTTCCTAGGTTTCATATTATGTTTTGATAAGTAGTATTAAACTGTTAAAAATGACGAGCTGCTGTACCAGTGTACCGTCGGTACACTGCATTTTTCAATGGAAAGTATCGGTGAATATCACTGCTCTAAATAATTTTATACTAGTGTACCTGTTGCTCGAATTCGAGCAATTGCGAAGCGTTACAGGCGACTCGAAGATTATGGAAATACTCACGATCTATGCAACAGTTAGATATAATCAAAATCTTTTGTAAATATCTTATCTTTTCTCAAAAAGC